TGTTATGATTATATACTTATCCCAAGTGACCATTTGCTGGATTATTGGAGAGTTATTTTTTTAAAAAGTTTTATAACCTAAATCACTGTCCATGTCTTCATGATATAATTGTAAACTGGCAGCACTGAATAGCCTAGGGAAAGGGCATCTGCCCATGTTTCAAAAACATTTAAATCTTTACAAAGCTGAGTGCATAATTTCTCAATATTCTATTATAGATAATTATTCTTATTTTTCTTAGGGAAAATTATAACACCAGCTAAAACTTTGAAGACTATATTTCATATACAAAAGAATTAAGACAAATTTAGCTAATTAAAATACAAACAGTAAGGATATGGAGAAATAGAGAAAAGTAAACAATAGCAAACAAAACCCAGTACAATATAAGACATTAAATTTAATTATTTTATGACCAGAATAACATAATTCCTTCAGCATCTTCCTTATTATCTACAGCAGCAAAGAGAATCCCCAACATCTGAAAAAAAGAGGTAAAGCAGCAGGATTTTGCTGAATTGAACTTTCGTGTAACTGAATCTGATTCAGTTTACCTCCTTAATTAAATCCCAGGATCCCCTGGTCTTACATCCCATTTGACACTGCAGGTTTTGGCTACTGACCAAGTTCCCACACTGTACTCTTTGCTATGAGAAAACACAATAAAGCTGAAGTACGGTTCTCACTCTCTAGATCCTCACTGGGGAAATGGACAAACACAAAACGGAAACTGAAGTTTATATTGGTCCAGGAATTGTAAAAATCCATAAAAAAACCTTTAACAGTTATGCAGAACTCTCAAAATGGAAATCTTTGATCCTTTCCAAAGTGGTAATCACTGAACTACCCAGTTTATTTTGCCATTTCATTGACATATTAGCTAGATGTATATCATCATGAGAGTTAGTATTATGCAGTATTTAAAATCAGGGGTTATGAGGTCAACATATCACAGTTGGAATCCTGGATCTACCACTTCTTAATTATTTGAACTTAAGAAAATTACTCTGTAAATCTTAGATTCTTCAAGATGAAGATTATGGTATCTACTCTAAAATATAGTTAGGAAAATTGAACAACACAAAAGTGCATAGAACAGTGTCCATCGCAGAGTAAATTCTAAAAAATATTAGAGATGACTAGTATTCTTAAAAATTTGATAACAAACTATGTAACAAAAATTTAGTGACTGTGCTAGCACAATTCAGTATGTACCTTGTATACATTGATACAAAACAATGAACATTCACTTTTTAGACACAGTAACATCCATTCTACAACTCTTATATCAAAGCTGTAATTATAACCTCTGTAGGAACAAAGTACTAAATACTGTAGCCAAACTGCAAATAATTCTGTAAGCCTTGGTGAGGGATGAGATGAGAATACAAAGGTAAGTAGTCCCAAACATCATACAATGCCTTATAGATGTTTGGATTTTAGCTTAAATTCAATGAGAAATAATTGAAGGATTAAAAGCAATGGAGTAACCTGATTTACATTTTCAAATGATAACCTTTTTATTATCTAGCTAATGGCATAGAAGAAGACAAAAGTAGAAGTAGGGAAGCTTATAGGAAGCTATTGAAGTAGTTCAGGCAAGAGAAAATAATGTCTTGGATTAGAATATTATCAATTAAGATGTAAAGAGGTGAACTGAATGGAGACATACTTTGCACATAGAATTGACAAGTCTGAGTGGTGGATAAAGAGAAGAGAGAAGTCCCAGATTTCTGCTGAGTGACTGGATGAGTGGAAGTACTACATAGAGTGATAGGAAGTATTGGAAGAGAAAGAAATCAGTGGATGAGGGCAGAAAAGCAAGGTTTCCATTGAGTTAAAGTTGCTTGTGGTATATCAAGTGGATATATGATTGGGTAATTTGGATATAGGACACTACAAAAGAAAGTTTTAGAATTGGAGGTATATATTTGATAGTTATAAGTAAAATATGATATTTAAAGCCATGAGGATCAGATTGCCTAGGAAAAGAATGTAAAAGATAAGGAGATGTAAAGGAATCCAGAAATGACCCCTAAGAAATTCTAACATTTAAAGGTCAGGAAGAATAAATAGAAGAACAGTGAAAGACCCTGAGGAGACAATCACAAAAGAAAAAGAAAAACCAAGAAAGAGAAAGTGAACAACTGCATCACATAGTGCTGGGAGATCAAGTAAAATAATTATCTTAGATGTCTTTTTTTCCCTTTAATCAAGCAATGTAGATAACATTGGTGATACTACCAAAAATGGTTTTAATTGCCTGGTTGAATGAGTATAAGGTGGATTAGAAAATCTGATAAAAAGGGAAGTGAAGTGGAAATAACTCCCCAGGAAATACTGGTAGGCAAGGAGGAGAGAGATAAATTCAATCAGAGGGAAATATGCAATGAGGAGAGTGTTTTGAAAGTGCTGTGATAGTGGAGAGTCTCAGGGTTTGTTTGAATGCTGCAAGGAAGACTCCAACATACATCAGGGTTGGAGATATAGGACAAAAAAGAAATGACTACTGGAACAAGAATAATGAGAAGAAGAATGAGTAAAGGCTCCAGATCATATACGGTGTACTAGCTCTTTAATAGAAGATGGTACACTTCCTCCATTGGAACATGAAATAAGACAGATTAGGATGGACACAGATGCAGACACAGAGCATAGATTTAGTGAGAAAAGGATGAAAATTCCAATCTTGTGGGGTCTATTTCTTTTAATGGCCATCTGCTCATAATGGATGTGTGATGTCAAGGGAAGGGGGCATTAACTAAAGAAAGAAATGGGGTAGAGTGAACCATCTTTTCCAGTTTGTATGGACCAAAAAAGTTCCTATAACTCGTGACTTGTAGTTAAAAAAAAAAAAACTAGGAAGGTCTTGGTAACAGAGTAGTGGTTGCTCATTTTAGAATCTAAGCAAAATACTTTTTGTATAGAGTAGGAGCAGAACTTACTAGTAAAGAGTTCAGATTGCTAGTGTTAAATGACCAGCTGATGTTGGTGACCATGAATTCATAGCATAACCATATATGGACTAATACTGAAATCAGACCATAAATTTTGTCTCAGGTGGAAAGGTTCCAAAATGTTCTTAGTTCATGGTACATTAAGTGTCAGAATAATTTTTCACTGTAACCCCTAAACAATTGTCTGGTCTGCCTGTCTGTTCCAATAGACCAAAGATTCTATTAGGGCAGAGACCATGACTGACTTGTTCATTCAGCACATATTGGAAGTAAAAAATTCAATTTAATTAAATTGACTTGTACATTTAAAGTTAAATAATGCATTTGAAGCATCCATCAAATGCTCAAAAATGGTAGTTAAAAGGTCCCTAATATTGTTTATATTATATATTATATATATTATATATTTCTCTGCCTTGTACGTATTTGCATTGAATAAACACTTGTTGAATGAAAAGCTCGGCTAGAGGAGAGGTCCTGAATTATGTCTGCCAGAAGCAAAACCCTAAACTCCCTGTCAATTTTACTTTCACTCTCCTAAATGCTGTACTCTTAATGTAGCAAGGAAGGAAGGGAGAGAGGGGCGGGAAGAAGGGAAGAAGGGAAGACAACCCAAATAAGCAATTGTCTGCTGTACCGGCCGCTATAAATGAGGTAAAGTATCAGGAAACCACATACAAGAATCTCGGTGCTTGTGTAGTTTCAGCTTCTCGTCCACTAGGTGGTGGAACGGAGTCCCTATTCTAACAGAATTTTTTCTCACAAGTTTGGTTTTCTCTCACGACTCCCACACAGAGCTTGGCAAGTGAAGGAAATTCAATTAAATGTCTTTACGAGTTTAGCTGGGAAAACAGAGCGTTCAAAGGCTGCCGGAGCAACCTCTGAAGAGGAGATGCTCGAGGAAACCCGCACTCTGCCAGCTAAAAACTACATCTCCCAGGAGGCCCCGGGCGAACGGGCGCCCCGTACACCTACGTCGCGGATCTCCCGGAACCGCGGCTGCCACCGAGTCCTGGAGCGCAGGGAGCGAGAGCGCGTACGGGCGCTACAGCGACGGCGCTCACAGGCCGCGGTGTCCCGCTGAGCCCGGGTTCCAACCTTGCTTGCAAGGTCCCTGAGAAACTAGCCTGTGCGCTGGACTACGAACCACGTGATCCCCGGCGCCCAGCAGCTCGCGTCTGTTACCCTGACAACACCGGGCCGCACGGACCTTCCGGGAAAGCGCGGGATTTAGAGTCCAGGTAGGTGAGGCTGAACGCGGCTTGTCCGCCTGGGCCCTCGTGGCCAGCTGTCGCGGTCCTCGGGGATTTCGGCATCCTGCAGCCCTTTTCCCCTCCCCGACTCCGCCCCCAAGTACGTCTTTGTCTTCCCGCCAATTCCCGGAGCCCAGAGGCCGCGAGGCTGAGGACCTTTTGGTAGGGTCCGCACCCCAAAACTGATGAAAGCGCTAATAAAGGGAGCGGGTGTTATTCTGCAGGTTGGGGCAGTTATTCCCCGTGCCTCAACCCCTTCCCGGTGCCTCAGCCCCTTCCCCTCCCACCTGCAAAAGAAAGCTGGCCTTTGTGCTGCTTGGAGGAGTTACAGTCCAGAATCTCGGGCAGATCCGAAGTTGGGCTTATTCAGGGAAAGGGGAGAGCTTTGCGTTGCACGTCACTGGATCCCACATAAGGGGTTCGGTGCATCGTTTTTGTTGGCCTTACATTGTTTCACCAAAAAAAATTCATGGTGATTTGTATGCTCCATTAACTATGCTTTATTAAGAATTCTGAGGCTTCTAATAAATTCGCCTTGTATGTGGAAGCATCCCCACATCTGGAAAGTGTACTTTGCAAACTTTAATGTGGATTGGAAAAATATCTAAAGTAAACTGGTTTTTAATAATTGGATGTTAGCAGATGAAAATGTAATTCGGGTGTCCAAAGTTCTTTTCCAAATCAGTTTGCTTAATGAATGAGGGCTATCTTGACCAGCTTACTGCTCATAATTGTGCGTATATACGAAGTCGTAAAGAATTCTAAAGTTTGAGTTGGATTGTGTGCATGATGTGAAGAATTTCCTCAAAAAGATGTTTGTGGCTTTTGTTATTTAGTGTTGTAAATGCTTTCAGAATGTTTGCTTCGGGAAATGAAATTTATTGAGTATGGCTCACTATTCCAAAGAAGAGCTGGATGAGGAATTTGAACAGTTTATGAAAGAGGTAAGTTCATGTTTTTAAAAACTGTATTAAAAATTTGTCTCATAAGACTCATTCTTCAGTTCTTTCACCTCTAAAATATTATCAGTCCCTCAACAATGCTGTCAACTCCACCTCCAGAATATACCCAGCACCCCTTAAATTCTCTCCTATTTTCCTATTTCACATGCTGGCACCTGCTAGTTCAATACCATTATCATCTCACCTGGCCTACTGCAGCTGTTCCCAACTAGTGTCCTAGCATTTCTTGTACCACACTGAAGCCAGATGGGCTGTTACTCTTTTCATCCTCAGCATAAAATGCTACTGGTTTTTCCATTATATATAGAATAAAATCCAAACAGTGGCTTAGAAATCCTTTATGATTTTGCTTATGATTGCCTTACTGACATATCACTCTTTCACTCATCCATTCTGTTTATCCTCCCCTCCCCTTTTTATTCCCTAGATATGTCAAGCTCATTTCACCTTTGAGGCTTTGCACTACCTCTTCCCACCAACAACAATGCTGTTTTCCTATTCTTCACTGCTTCACAGAGGCTTTTTCTATTAACCCAGTTAGAAGTAACTAAGTCACTTCTTAGTATACCATGTATTTAATTCTTTTTATAGTACTTAGCCCCATTTGTTACTTTTCTTGTGTGACTCTATTGTCTACTTCCTATTCTAAGACATATGATCTATGACAAAGATGGCTGTGAGTTCATTACTATATATATAGGACCTAATAGATACTTACTAAATGTCTACTGAATGATATATTAAAAAGTATACCATATCCTATGTCTTTTCATAAATGAAGGAGGCTTGTAGAGCATTTACGAGAGTCACCTTTTAGCCTATTACACTAACATTCTTGTTTATAAAGGGAATTTGATGTGGAAAGTATCTGAGTTTCATTATCTAACAGAAACAGTAATGCCTACTATATAGAATTGTTTTAAGCATTTAAAACAGGATCTATCAATTGCCAGAATGTAGTGGACACTCAAAATGAGTCTCTCTTCCCATTTGAAAGACTGGTTTTTATATTTCAAATATGCACGCATTTTAAAGACTAAACTTATTTGAAGCATTTTCATTTTAAAATAGTATAGTAGTATCATACAGGCCTTTTAGAAAATGTTTTTCTTCTATTCCATTTACCACCTTTCCAAGAAACGTTCTCTCTCTCCAACATCCTACCCTTTCCTGTCTCCTTCTCACATCCATCCTCAAATCATAAAAGCTTTTGTCTTACGTTACAAAAATTTGGGTAAAGCCATGTTTTGGTTTTTATTTTTATTTTGTTTTAATAATGCAAACCGTGGTTTTAAGAATCTTGCTACCTACCTTGGTCTTTTTAATAAATTTTGTTCAGTTTGCTCAGTTATATAGTTTATATATTTTTGTGGGTGAGCAGTTTGACTTGTTTTGTGTGGTACTAGAGTTTGAACTTAGGGCTTTACATGGAAGGCAAGCAATCTACCACTTGAGTCACTCCTCTAGCCCTTTTTGCTATGGTTATTTTGGAGATATGAACTTAACTTTTTGCCCAGGCTGACCTGGACTGAAATCCTCCTAGTCTAAGTCTCCTGGAAGAAACTGGAGAAAAGAAGTACCCTTCTGCATGTTCTATTGGGAGCAGAGGATGGAATTGACTCTTCTGAGAGGAAAAACATTTACAGATATGAATTGGTATATTAATTGTTGAGAATATTGTTTATGTGATAACTGAAATGTGAGAGAATTAAAGGAAACATTTTAGTGATAAATCTAGAATTCTCTAACTTAAAATATATTTTAAAATTTAATAATTTGTATCTAATTTAGCTTTCAGATGATTCTTTTGGAACTTCAAACAATACACCACGACCACCTAAAAAAGAAATGAAGAATGATACAGTGCCTTGGTGGATAACTGAAGATGATTTTGAAGATGGTGGTAAATATGCTATTTTTTGTTTCCATTTATTTGACCACAAGAGGTCAGTCAAGATGTTTAATTCTGGATTTTGTTCCAATAATATAAACATAAAAACAGAATAATACTAATAATGTGCATTTTTGAAGTTTGAATTGATTTTCATATTACCTTACTTTATTACATATTTATTATGTAATTGAGAGGTTTTTTTATTGTGCTGGGTGGGAGTACATTGTGGCATTTACAAAAGTTCTTTTTTTTTATTGCTTATTCATTTATTCATATGTGCATACATTGTTTAGGTCATCTCCTGCTGCCCTCCCCCCCTCCCCTTCCCCACCTCGCTTTCAGGCAGAACCTGTTCTGCCCTCTTCTCCAGTTTTGTTGAAGAGAATACATAAGAGATAATAAGAAAGACATAGTGTTTTTGCTAGCTTGAGATAAAGATAGCTATGCAGAGAGATTCCTAGCATTGCTTCCATGCACATGTATATCACAACCCAAATTGGTTCATCTCTACCACACCTCTTCACTACTACCAGGTCACCTTCCCATAGTAGCCTCTGTCATTTTAAGATAACTTTATTCACTCCTCTGCAGTGAGCACATCTCTTGAGAGCTTTCTCCTGAGCTCTTGTTTTACTGACCTTACTGGGGGCAACTAGAGATGCAGAAAGGACAAAAGATAGAAGACAAAGCTGGGGCCAGGTGTGTTGGGTGCTGAGATGGAGATGCACAACAGCCTCGTTACTTCTTTTCTCTATTATTCTCTTCTTTTTACTTGCCTCTTTTCTCTAGTCTTTAAAACCTTACTTGTGAAGTCATCTTTTCTATTCTTTAAAGTCTCTTTACTTAGACTCGCTCTGTCCCATGTTTTCTTTAATCTCTCTTAAAGTCTTGTCCCTCAGACATGCACTGTCCCATGTTCCCTTTAATCTCTCTTAAAGTCTTTGCCCCCCAGACTTGCACTGTCCCATGTTCTCTTTAGCTTTTCTTTAGCTTAGCTTTTCTAAAGCCTATGTATAAAGTTCTCAGTGCAGAAAGATGCTCTGGTGAAGACACACAACAACCAGCAGCAGCAGCAGCGTCAGGGCACCCTCATAAACAACCTGCCACCAGCCAATCAAAATCCTTCAATCCTCCATTAAAAAAAACCCCTCTTCCTTCTTCAGCTGGTTCTTTTATAACCAGTGATAAACAAGGAGGTGGAGCAACAGTTCTCAGGGAGGGGCATGATATTGTAACAAGAGAAACCTTCTGTCTACTTCTCTGAACTTAAACAACTTAGGAAAAGCAGCTGTGCTGCATTTTGCCTCTCACTCTCTTCTGTGGCTGGGGCCATGCCAAACTCAGCCTGCAGATCATTGAGCACAACTGTGCTTATGTCAAGTTCTCATAGGCCTCTCGTAATCTGCTCCTCACACACATCAAACACTTTCAGGTTTTAGGTTTCCTTCCCTTTCCCTATTCTTTCTGTATATGTTCTCCCCTTCAGCATGTGACCCAAGTCCAATAAAATTACTGCATTTGTTTTAAGTCTAAAGTTTGCATATGAGGAAAAACATGATTTTTGGCCTTGTGAGCCTGGCTAACTTCGCTTAAGATGATGTTCTCCAGTTCCATCAATTTACTTGCCAATGACAAAATTTCATTCTTCTTTGTGACTGAGTGAAATTCCATTGTGTATAAATACCACTTTTTCTTAACCCATTCGTTGGTAGTGTAGCATCTTGGCTGTTTCCATAACTTTGCTATTGTGACTAGTGCTGCAGTAAACATGGGTGTGCAGGTGCCTTTGGAATAACCTGAGTCACATTCCTTTGGTATATACCTAGGAGTTGTATTGCTGGATCATATGGTAGATTATGTTTACTTTTTTTAAGAAGCCTCCATGTTGTTTTCCAACGTGGTTGTACTAATTTACATTCTCACCAGCAGTGTATGAGGGTTCCTTTTTCCCTGTATCCTCACCAACATTTGTTGGTGGTGGTGTTCTTGATGATAGCTATTCTAACAGGAGTGAGGTGGAATCTTAGTGTTGTTTTGATTTGCATTTCCTTTATGGCCAGGGATGGTGAGCATTTTTTAATGTGTTTTGGCCATTTGGATTTCTTCCTTTGAAAAAGTTCTGTTTAGTTCAGTTGTCCACTTCTTTATTGGTTCATTGATTTTAGGGAAGTTTAGTTTTTTTGAGCTCCCTGTATATTCTGGTTATCAGTCCTTTGTCTGATGTATAGCCAGCAAATATTTTCTCCCACTCTGTGGGTGATCTCTTCAGTTTAGAGACCATGTCATTTCTTTTGTTGTGCAGAAGCTTTTTAATTTCATGTAGTCCCATTTGTCCATCCTTTCTCTTAGTTGCCAAGCTGCTGGGGTTCTATTGAGGAAGTCCTTGCCTGTACCTATTGCTTCCAGAGTATTCCCTGGTCTTTCCTGTACTAACTTCAGAGTTTTGGGTCTGATATTAAGGTCTTTAATCCACTTTGAGTTAATACTTGTAGAGAATAATAGACATGGATCTAGTTCCAGTTTTCTGCAAGCAGATAACCACTTTTCCCAACAACATTTGTTGAAGAGGCTGTCTATTCTCCATCATATGGTTTTTGGTGTCTTTGTCAAAAATAAGGTGGGCATAGCTGTGTGGATTCATATCCAGGTCCTCTGTTCTGTTCCACTGATCTTCATATCTGTTTTTGTGCCAGAACCATGCTATTTTTATTGCGATGGCTCTGTGAAACAGTTTGCAGTCAGGTATTATGATACCTCTAGCATTGCTCTTTTTCTGACTATTGCCTTGCCTATTTGTGGTCTCTTGTATTTCCAAATGAACTTTAGGGTTGATTTTTCAATCTCTGTGATGAATGTCATTGGGATTTTGATGGGAATTGCATTGAACATGTAGATTGCTTTTGATAGTATAACCATTTTTACTATGTTGATTCTACCATTCCATGAGCATAGCAGATTTTTCCACCTTCTGTACTCTTCCTCAGTCTCTTTCTTCAGAGTTTGTAGTTCTTCTTGTAGAGGTTGTTCACATCCTTTGTTAAGTTTTACTATGACATTGTTGCTTATTTAAGATAACTACACAGGGTATTTCCTTGTGACACTTCCATTTATATACATTTTATAGCCTGATTTGGTTCATCCCTTCTTCTTTCTACCTTAGTCCCTTTCTTATAGTAGTTTCACCTTGTTTAAAAACTATATTCATTCTTGTACAGAGAACACATCAACCATATTAATCTTAACTTCCTTCTTTTACCCTCCCCCTCTCGTATGTGACCTTCCGTTAGCATAACCTGTTTTTCATATTATTGCTATATTTATATTAGGTCTATATTCCACAGATGAGAGAAAACATGTGGCTTTTGGACTTCTGAACTTGGCTAACTTCCCTTAAGATGATGTTCTCCATTTCCATCCATTTACCTGCAAATGAGAAAATTTCATTCTTCTTTGTGGCTGAATAAAATTCCGTTGTATGTAAATGCCATATTTTCTTAACCCATTCATCAGTAGTAGAACATCTGGACTGTTTCCATAGCTTATCTACTGTGAAAAATGCTGCAAAAAACATTGATGTGCAGGTGCCTTTGTTGTAACTTGACTTACGTTCTATCAGATATATCCCTAGGAGTGGAATTGCTGGATCACATGGCAGTTCTATTTTTAGTTTTTCAAGGAGCCTCCATACTGTGTTTTTACATTAACAGGTTATTTTACGATGAAATAATTTATATTTTCCTCAAGTTAAATACTTCAGGTAGTTTTTGCTTTTTTCCCATAAAATTGAGCCTGAATTCCTTGGGTGACAGTTGAGGTGCTATATAATCTGACTGGAGTCCTCCTGTTTTCCTCACATGCTCCAGCCACACTAGGTTACTCCGTCTCTCCTGGAAATGCCATTGGCTCCTAACCTCTGTACTGTGGTCTGTGGTTCCCTGCCATGTCAGTGCCTCCCTCTCATCTTCCTTGTCCAGTAAGGCAGCACCACTCTTTGCAGTCCTGTTGTAACTCTCTTTTTGCTCCATGTTAACAGTTACGTTTTCCTTTCTTTGAGGTCAGAACACCATAATAGCATATTCAGATTGTGTTGATGGTTGTAACTTTCAGGCCTACTTTTGGGTTTAAAAGCTTTGTGTGGGCAGGAAACACTGCTTTTCTTTTCCTTGTATCCCTTGACTCTCAAAACTGTAAATAACATGTTTTTGTAAATGAATATTTAGAGATTTTTCTTCTTGTTCACATCTTAGTTTTTCTTAGTACTATAATACCATAGTGTTAATGAAGTGCCTCATTGAAAAATCTAGTACAGTTTTTCATAAATCCCCAAACTATATAACAGTGCTGAAACTGCATGTGAAGAATTATTTTTAAGAATCATTTCTCCTATTAATGCTTGAAAAAGATATAGAATAAAGTATTCTTGAAATCATTGGCAAAGATTTAGCACTGAAGATAATGAATCAGAGTAGAACTATGACAATTGACTCTAAAGAGAAAAAGTAACTCTTGGGTTGCAACCTGACTAAAGGAACTGTTTTTAAAGAATGTGTATATCTAAAATAGATTCAATTAGTAAAAGAAAGATCATCTAGAAACAAACTTTTTAACAGTCTCTGCTTAAACACAGGAGAGAGTTTTCGTTTTGTTTTTTGCCACAGAGCATAGCCTGGTCCCTGGTTTAATCATAAGCATTTATGGAGTTGATATTACATTCTGAATACTAGACACTGTTGTGTAAGTCTAGATGTGATTCCTGAGTACATGAATAGCACTCTTGAGAGGAATATATTCCTAGTTTTGAGTAAATGCCATTAAACATTAAAACTGAATAACTTCTGTGTTAGAATTTCTTTTTCTTTCAGTTGCCATAAGGATAAAGTGTTCTGGCTGGGGAGTTAACTAATCCTTTTGCTAATTACATTCTTCAGTATAAATAACTAAACTAGATCTTGGTTTCTGTTGTATTTGTCTCTGGTGAGCTTGCTTGATCTGGGTCATTTACTTTCTTTAGCTGTATGGAAGTTACTGTTTGATCCAGTAAAACCATTATAACTTTTTCCAAGAGCATACTAATTAGGAAATTCATGTCACAATTTGTGACCTCTTAATCAGCCTGTCTTCTAACCCAAAGTGATATTGTTTCTTTCTTTCTTTCTTTCTTTTTTTTGCTGTCGTGGGCAAGTGTTCTACCATTTGAACCACACCTCCAGCCCTTTTTTAATTTAATTATTTTTCAGGTGGCATCTCACAGTTTTTGCACAGGCAGGGTTGGATCACAATCCTAATCTCTTATCTCCCAAGTAGCTGAGATTGCTCCTAATCTTAATGTTTATATTGCATATTGTATTTATTTACCTTTTCCATATGTCAGTTTTTTAAAACAAATATACAGTGATCCCTCCAAATCTGTAGGGGATTGGTTCCAGAGCCACCAGTACCAAAATCCATGGATATTCAAATCCCCTATGTAAAATGACATAGTATTTGCATATAACGTAAGTATATCCACCCATATACTTTAAGTCACCTCTAGATTACTTATAGTACCTGGTACAATGTAAGTGTTATGGAAATAAATGTTAGGTTGTATTCTTTAAGGAATAACAAGAAAATAAAGCACCTGTACATATTTAATACAGACACTTTTTTCCAGAGACTTTTGATCTTTAGTTGGTTAAATTCATAAATGTGGAAACACAAAGGGCTTGTATAAAATTTTGATATTGTGTGACTTTTTCAATGTTTTCTAGTGTTCTCTGACTAAAGAGCATGGTTCTACCCTTGGCCTATGAGGACAAGTGTGGTATGACCATGGTCTTCCTGTTATAGGATTGTTTTCTCCCATATTCACCCTTACTCTGTGGATTCAACCTCATTAACTTTTTTGCATCCTCAAACGTTTCTTGCTCTTCCCATGGTCCATCCTTTGTACCTGTCTGCAGTTGTCTCCCTTTCCCACTTCACCCAGTTATTTCCTACTCTTCATTCATGTCATAGCAGTATTATTACTTCCTTGAAGAAATATTCTTGGATTCTCCAGTTTTGATAGGGCTCTCCTCCCCATTAATATGTTATTGATTTCCTGCTGCTTCTCTAGCAATCATCTCCAGTGGTTACTGTTTTCTTTCCTTATACCTGCTGCTTCCTCTCCGGTTTCCTATGAATTGTGTCATTAGACCATCCACTGTATCTTCTTGTCTTCTTCTGCCAGTGACCAGGTTATTCCTCATAGATTTTAGCTTCTGTTTTACTGTGATCTCCAATTCTACTGCATTTTTACCATGTGGCTGAACCCTCCAGTAATCTGAGTTCTGAGTTCTTGAACTTCTTTACACCGGAAGTCTCATTGTGCATATCATCACCCCCTCCTCCTTGTGATAGCTTCTCATGTCACTCATCATAAAAGCCAGTGATCTGCATATTAGCTCACACTGCCTTTCCCTTGCACATGCCACGGCAGCTTCACTGGCCTCCTTACTCTTCACATGTGCCTGGCCTTCTCCCACCTTGGAGGTGTCCTCTTCCTTAAACATTCTTTCTCTGAAGTATTCACATTGATTGATCCTTTGCTTCTGTCTGAGCTGTGAAGGCATTCTTGCCCACCCTATTTAAATTTTCAGTGCTCTTTCTCCTGCAGTCCCTATCACTCTTTCTTGTAGTTTTCTTTGCACTTACCAATTTTTAATGTACTATTTATTTGTAATGTACTTATTTTACTTATTGCCTGTCCTGTTTGCATGAATATAAGCTTCAAAGGAGCAGGAGCTTTTTTGTTGTTTGTTTATTCATATGTGCATACGTTGTTTGGGCCATTTCTCCCCTTCTGCCCCCCACTTCCTCCCCCTCTTCCCCCACCCCCCTTGGTTCCAGGCAGGACCTGTTCTGCACTTTTCTCCAATTTTATTGAAGAGTAGACATAAGCAATAATAAGAAAGACATAGCGTTTTTGCTAGTTGAAATAAGGATACCTATACAGAGAGATTCCTAACATTGCTTCCATGCACAAGTGTATTATACCCCAAATTGATTCATCTCTACCTGATCTCTTCCCTGCTTCCTGGTCACCTTCCCATATTGACCTCTGTCATTTTAAGGTTACTGTATTAGCTTCTCTGCAGTGGACAATCAAACACTTTCATGTTTTGGGTTTCCTGTCTATCCCCATTCCTCCCATATATGCTCTCCCCTTAGCATGTGACCCAAGTCCATCAACATTGCTGCATTTGCCCTAGATCTAAAGTCCGCGTATGAGGAAGGACATACGATTTTTGGTCTTCTGAGCCTGACTAACTTTACTTAAGATGCTGTTCTCCAGTTCCATCCATTTACTTGCAAATGATAAGATTTCATTCTTCTTCATGGCTGAGTAAAATTCCACTGTGTATAAATGCCACATGTTCTTAATCCATTCATCAGTAGTGGGGCATCTTGTCTGTTTCCATAACTTGGCCATTGTGAATAGTGGAGGCAGGAGTTTTTTAACAACTTTATTGACTTATAAATCCTAAGCATTTAGTACAATGATCAGATGTAGAAGGCAACCATAAGTTATTTGCTGTTGATTATCTGCTCCTCCTGTTAGAGTAATTTTCATGGTGGCAAGGGTCTTTATTGTATGGCCAGCATTAGCACTGTTCTAGGCACTTAATTTGTAGAAAAATTTGAGTGAATAATGTTCTAAACTTTTTCTGCATAAACATAAATTTATACTTTCTTGCCTAGGAGTCATGAAATTTTTTTAAACTTCTTACTATAAAAAATTTCAAACACTTAGAAGTAGAATGTACACTCATGTACCCATTGTCTTGATAACAGTAATCATTAACTCATGGCCAGTCATATTTCTCCCATAATCCCCTCTCTTTCTCTATTTCCCTTCCACCATATTACACTGAAAAAAAATCTCCAGCACCATATCACTCTATCCACAGATATTTCAAAGTATCTCTTTTTAAAATAATTTTTATTAGTCTAAAATAATCATATAATGGAGTTTCATTGTGATACTTGCAATATACATGTAATATATTTTGATCAAATTCACTTCATCTACTTACTCTTTCCTGACCACTCTCTCTCTTCCCCCCTCCTTTTTAATAGTTTATGGTGGTGTTGTCTTTTAAAATATAACCATAATATTATCCAAAACTACAATAAGATTTCCTTAATATCATCTAATATCTAATCAGTCATAAAAGACTTTTAATATGTTTAATATATATTAATTTTGGAGAAAGTTTCACATTCCAAAATGCTGTGAGAAATTTTGATAGCCTCCTCTCCCCCAACAATGTACTAATATACTGGTGTAAGACTCCTCCGGTGAGTCACTATTTCCAATGTTTTGGAAATGATGACTTTAAAGATCTCTTAATATGTCCATCTATTTTCTGGAAGTGATATTTATACTCACAGAGGGTTTTCTCTGACCCCTGTAATTGCCCTTGTACCTGTTATTCCCCCATTGTGTTTTGAATGCTGTTTCATGTTATGTACAATCTATTTGCAAAATGTTAGGAGTCAAGCAACAAAAACTCTAAATAAAGAACAGGGAAATAAGGCAGAAGAAAAGTGATGTGGCATAGTATATTGACTAGTTATGCTTCAAAATATATTTTAGAAGTCTTATGCAAATTTTTAAATGTTTTGTTTAATAAGATACACGGAAATCAAATAAAATTACAGTTTTCTTTTATGAGTTCTGGGTCTGATGAATTTTTATTTAATAGAGTGGGTTTATTTTAGAGATGCTATGCATAAAATTAATATAACAGTATTATTGTGTTGGCATAGTGATCAAAACAGTTCTCTGAACATAAATAGCCAACAATTGTATTCCTAGGACTGCTTGGAACAAATGTAAGCTATTTGAAAACAAAGAAGACTTCTCAGCCTGTTATAGAAACAGAAGAAGAATCTGCTGAAAAAATTCAGTTTCTTAAGAGCAGTGGAACCTCTATTTTAAGTGTTGACAGCTTAGAAACAAATGGTAAGAAATGAGAGGGCTGTGAATTAAATTATTACTACATTCAGAATTTTTATAAAAATTAAATCATAGCTGTCTGAGAGCCTCTTTTACTGAAGCACATACACAGATTTAATATCTTCCTAGAAGTCTAGAATTTCAACTCTAGAGAAGCCTTAAACCTTACAAATTGATTTTGATTATGAATCTATTACATATTTGTAAACTTGCTTAATTTACTATGTAGTATCAATAAATGTATAATCTAAATTTCATCAAAATTCTGTGTATTAATATATTCGTGCCTTCTATTTAGAGCTAGTAGTTTCTGAGCTCAATCATAGTATTCTTGGAATGGGATTGGACACATTAGAAGAACAAGAGGAGAAAGAGCAGTTTTTTACCAGGCTGGAGAAAGGCTTAACATCTTCCATTGATTATTCAAGACTAAATAAGGAACTGGATTCTAAGGACTCCACACAATTTAAAGCATTACATAGGTAAAGTGAATACAAATAAACTTCTAACTGATTTTTGTGTTATTCTGTAGTTTTATAATGTAGATTTTTTTATACAGACTTTTATACAAATTTTTAGATTAAAGTATCTTTAGGTATAAACTCAAACATAACAGATATAATTAAATCTCAGTTTTGAACTCTAGTCTCTGCTTATTATTATTGCAAGGATTTTTCTTATATATGGACAGAATAGTTGATTTGAAGTTGAAAGCCTACTCTGCTTCCAGACACCTGAAATTTCATACCCAAGAAACTGTTGAAACTAATGGTATATTTGTCAAGTCCTTATTAGGAAAGAAATTGATGAAATGATTTTCCCCAATAAACTCAAATGGAGTCCCAGTTACTAAGAAAAAAGGAACAGAGGATACAGAAACCAGGGAGCCAACACAAGTTTGGTCTAGTTTTAACTCTATGTGTGGTTGGATCTATTGGTTATCAGAGAACCTAATTTGCCCTAGGAATACTACAAACTGAATGAGCTGATACTCTCTTAAGTACAGTAAACCATTGCATTCTCATGACCTTTGTGAGACCTGAGATCTTGTATTTCCTCAGTTTAGTTTTCTGTGTAATTATTTTTGTTATAAAAGGAAATCAAATTATCAAATTACGATTTAGGATTTTAAGAACACAAAAGTATAATTAGGAGAATCATAACCTAGGATTATTAGAGTGCTTAGTCTCAAGTTGATTAGTCTCTTGTAGACTGGACAAATCAGTACATTTGCTAGCATGAACTGTGCAGTCTGAGACCTGTGTACTACCTGCAAGTGAAGAATTTAGCCTTTCAATTTTGTGGATGTTGGCAAGAAACACCAAATTCCTCAGTCATAAGCAAAGGGCCTTATTTCTCACAACAAAAGCAATACTCTGTCATGTGTATTCATACTGGTTCCCCATGTCCCACGAGTTATGGTGTGAGACAAAGGATCCATGTCTGCACATGCAGTAGATTGCATTACTGGAGAGAAATACTGAGCTAGGGAAACCTGTTGTTTATATAATAAGTACCAGTAATCCTGATCTTTGGGTAGAAACATTACCTCCCATCTCAAGACTGCTTGCTACAAGCACAGCCCTGAAAAATAGCTTTGTAAAGGATGGTCAGGACCTTGCCTTACTGGGATATCCAGAAGGAACATGCAGAGTACTCAGGGCCCGTAGCAACTGGCTGTCCCAACATTGACAGTACAGATTAAGCGTGCATAGATTTGTTGGTCACAATTTTTTCCCCTTTGCAATATTCTTTAACTTTTATTTCTTAGCAATATTCTTAACTTGTAGAATAGGCTGGTCAAAGCACAGCATACATTATTTATACAATATTAGTTGTTTGCTGCTATTGTTATCATGTCTTATGGTTTCTCAGATGTGCTCATAATCTCACTAAAAACGGGGCTAATGGACTGAAAAAGGTATAACTGATTTCCTTGGTTTGAAAGAAAGTGGTGTGTGAACTAATATTTCCATAATAATTAAAACACACTCAAGCTTCCTTGTCCTCTTACTGAGTTTTCAGTTTCCATCTCAAGAGTTGCATTGCTTATTAGCATGTGAGTGCTGATCTTTGCATTTCATACTTCACTGGTTCACTAGCTTGTGGTCAATTCCTAACCCATAGTGAAAAGGGGATATCTGGGTAAGATAATGTGAATGCACATCCTTTTATATAATAAAATTGTGTATATTTGTGTAGAAGTTTTAAGAAAAGTGACGTTTCTTTGATGATTTGTATAGGTACAATTAGTCTCAGACTTCAATGATTTTTATTTTAAAACATTTTTCTTACAGCATAAGAGTACTTGAGAAGACATACAATTTTAGATTTTATTTTAATAATTAGGCAAAGGATTATATGAAGATATATTAACATGTTAAACGACATCTTATTTTTCCAGTGATCATGCTGATATAGAACTCACTGAAGATGAACTAGAGAGTGAATCAAAACATGAATTACTGCCAGGTAATTTCATTGGTTGTAAAATTCATAATATCTGAAAAGACAGTATAGCCTTTTTTGTGATACTGGAGTTTTGAACTCAGAGCTAGGCATATCTGCCACTTGAGTGATGCCTTCATCCCTTTTGCTTTGATATTTTAAAATAGGGTCTGGCATTTTTACCAGGGACAGATCTAGACTGCATTCGTTCTATTTTCAATGTCTTATATATAGCTAGGGCTGGGACCATAGTCCATGCTCAGTTTATTTGTTGAAATGAGGTCTCTAACTTTTGCCCATGCTGGCCTCAAAACAGTGTCATCCCAGTCGCCACTTCCCACGTAGCTGGGGTCGCAGGTGTGTGCTACCATTCCTGCCCAAGATCATATAGCTTTTAATAAAGACATTGATGAGAGAAAAATAATGAGAAGGAAAATAATTGTCTTAGCAAGAGCTTTGAACAAGTAAAGTGGGGTTGCTGTGTTATACTCTGAGCTACTAAGATACTGAAAGTGAATTGCTGCCTCATTTGTTGAGAGTGGCAGTTCACCAATCAGTAAGACAGGAGAATGAGCTTTGTGTCAGCATTGTGAGAATCTCTGAAGACAGGACAAAGACCTCCAAAGCATGGTGGGTGAGGAGGTCATTCTTTTTTCCATCTTTTGACTTAAAGTGTCTTTATTTTTATATTTAAAGTGGTTTTCTTATTAGAGGACATACAGGTGGATTTTTTATTGATAGCTTTGCCATTGTTTTCTATCCTTCCATCTTTTTTGTTGCTTTTGTCCCACATGCTATTGGATTGTTTATAGCATTCCATCTTCTTTCTCTTTTTGGCTTTTTAGTTATACTTTTTTGTTGTATTTTTTTAGTTGCCCTATGACTAGCGAATATATCTTTACCTTTATTTGAGTCTATTTTGAAAAAATACGTCACTTTATATTCACTTTAACAGTAGTAAACCCACCTCGCCATTTTGCTTTTTTTGTCATAAACTTTTTTACTACATCTTAAAACTCCACAACACGTTGATAATATTGTTGTTAAAATAATCTATTGTCACCTTAAAATATTTTAAAAACAAAATGTTTATTACATAAATATTTGTATTTATTCATGTGCTTAACATTCCCAATGCTTTGTATTTCTTTGCATAGATGTGATTTTTTAAATTTTTATTTATTTAGTTTGTGTGTGTGTGTGTGTGTGTGTGTGTGTGTGTGTGTATTGGGGTTTAAACTCAGGGCCTACACCTTGAGCCACTCCATCAGCCCTTTTTAGTGATGGGTTTTTTCGAGATACAATCTCGCAAACTATTTGCCTGGGCTGGCTTCAAACCAACATCCTCCTGATCTTTGCCTCTAGGATTACTGGCATGAGCCACCGACACCCCGCTGGACGGCTTTCATTTGTTTGCCTTCAATTTTGAAGATACTTTTGCTGAGTATAGAATTTTTAGGTAGTTTATTTTTTTCTTTGAGCACTTTGATTCTGTTCTATTGACTTTTTATCATATTTCTCATGAAAAGTCATTATTGTCATCCCTTGGTATCTGGGGGAGATTTGTTTCAGAATTTGCCACAGATACCAAAGTTTGTAAATGCTTAAGTTCCTTACGTAAAATGGTACGGTATTTGCTTATTCCTATGCACATCTTCCCATGTACTCTCAGTCACCTCTTCTTTACTTATAGTACCAATACAGTATAAATGCTATGTAAATAGTTGTTATACTGTATTGTTTATGGAACAATGACAAGGAACAAAAGTCCATACATGTTCAATCCAGACACAATTTTTTTTTTCAAAACATTTTTAATCCACTGTTGGTTGAATAGAACCTAATAGAACAGAGGGACTGTTACGTCTTTTTTCCCTATTTTCAAGGTTTTGGCTTTATCCTTATACTTTGGCAGTATGATTAAGATGTATCTTAGTATACCTTTCTTATATTTATCCTGTTTGAAGTTGATTGGCCATCATTGATCTGTGAATTTATAGTTTGCATCAAAATGAAAAATTGTTTGGCCATTAATTCTTCAAATACTATTTCTGCTTTTTGTTCCCTGGTCCTGTTCTTAATTACAGGTATCTCGTAAAACACCAAGTTTTGCCCTGTATGTCACCAAAGATTCTTTTATGGACTTTTTTTCCTTTCTTTGCTTCAGTTTATATTGCTATGCCTTCACATTCACTGATCTTTTCTTTAATCTGCTGCTAATTCCACCCATTATTTTTTTTCTTTAAAAAGTTCCTTTGTATTTTTTTTAAAATCTGTTTTGTTTCCTCATTATGTTCATTTTTTTCAAGTACTTAATACAAAGCATATTTTACAGATGACAACATTTCAGTTCTGGGTATCTTTCTGCTTTTTCTCATTGTATTTTTTCTTTTGGATATTGGATATTTTATTAGATACTGGATATTGTGGATTTTATGTCATTGAGTGTCAGGATTTGTTTCTCCTTTTGAAAATGTTGAGCTTTTTTCTGGTATCTAGTTGTTCCTGCCACTTGATCCTTTCAAGGCTTTTCTTATTTTCATTAGGGGAAGTAGCCACTATAGGTATTGTTTAACCCTATTACTAAGGCATGGCCTTCCAAGGTTTGTACCAATGGCCCGTAGTGATCAGTGAGGACCTTCTAGTCAAGCAGGTTTGAGCTTGAATGTCTCCCTTGTCCTGTGTGAACTCAGAATTGTCCAACCTACAGATTCATAGCTGTTCTTGGCTAAATGTACACATTAGCAGCTTAGCATTTAGTAATAAGTGAAAAAAAAAAGTGAAAGGGATAACAATGCAGATTTCTAGAGCTTTTTTCCCAAATAATATGGAAGATGCTGAGTATTAACGATGATAATTTTCCATAAAAATCACTTCCATTTCATTTTGCTTTTTCATTTTTATGTAACTGAATTGGCTTTGATGTTTGTTTCAGAAATCTCTTGACATATTTTTTCCTTACCATTATTTCCTGTGTCTCATTCTCTCTCTCTTTTTCTCAATAACATTTCTTTCTTATTTCAGACCTACTTTATTTATGACAGATTCCTGGGGAGGAGGTTTTGTCATTCATAGGTTATAAGTTAATACTTGCCTGTAAGTTATTCAGTTACTCAATGAAAATACTAGAATATAGTTTGGAATAATGCACATGAGATTAGCAATTTGGCAATTAGAAATAGTATTTTCAGGGCTCAAGGTTATAGCTCAATGGTAGAGTGAGACTGGGTTCAATCCCTAGCACCACAGCAAAAAAAAACTGCTATTCTCAACATTTTAACTTCTAATCTTCTCAGCAATCCCTCAAGATAAGTACTATTTTTATCCCCACATAACAGATGGAAAAAATGAGGCCAAGAAATCAATTCTGTAGCTGAAAATAGTAGAACAAGGAATTGAATCTAGGCCTTCTGGCTTCAGGTAAAGCAGCAAAGCACTGTGCTACTCTCCCTGAACTGTTTGTTACCCTTCTTTGTTGTCACACACACTGCAACCCCTTCCTCTGATTCCCAAGTCCTAAGAACTTCTTTGAGTTCAGTGTCATACATTCCCATAGCTCCTGTCTTCTTATTCATCTTGTGTTAAGTAACTCTAATCTAACTTCAGTAATTTAATTACTTAAATTTCGGTAGCCTCCACCTAGAATAGTAAATTTTTAATCATTTTATATTGGGCCTACTACCTAGAAGTACATCTAATACAATGTAATTACTCTTTACTGTTTTGCAAATTTGATTATATCCACTGATACTTAGAAAATCCCAGTGTTCTTTCTCATGCAGAAGAGGAACAAATGTTTCTGTGATGTAGTTAACCAACTCATCTAGCTTGTCTGCACAAATTCCAGCACCTATGCTGTTCCAAATTCATATTTTTATAGCAGAAATGGAGGTGTTTCTGTAGCCCGATTTCACTGGGAGCATATCCCTATGTAACTGCTAAGCCCTTTCAAACTCATTCTCAAACTTCTTAAGTTGTCCCCTCCATTGTAAGAGAAAAGACGATTCCAGAAGCAGGCACACTAGTATTCATGTAGTCTTTTTCCCATCAGCTCATCCTGTTTTTTTCACTGTAACGTAATCTTTTCAAATACAAATAAGATACTTGTTTCAAAAGTGATCAGAACCACTCTGAAAAATCTGTTCACCTTCCTTCAGCTCACAGATTTCAGTCAGTGCTTTTAAGAGCCAAAAGCAACTTGAAAATTGAGCAGATACAGCTCAAATAACCCCTGCACCACCTTCATAAGTAGACTGATGGCATCAGTTAACTGGTAGATATCTTTTCCTTCTGCTCCAAAGTCATTCCAATGTAACTTAGAGGCTTTAACCCAGAAGTACTTGGAGTCAGGAAACAGCAAAAGTCATGTAGGTTCAATGTTTTCCTAAGGAATGGATCAGAGATTGATCTTTCAGAAGTACTGTTTAATGCTTACACCAACGATACCTGCGAAGACCAAAAAAAGCAACTTGAAATAAGCAAAATCCAACCTTTTTTTTTTTTTTTTAAAGTGTCAGGAGTTCTCAAAGTGCTGCCTTTTATAAGTAAGAAATAGAAGGTTTATGTCTTGGCAAAAAACAAGTCCTAAAGTTTTAAAGAAAATGTAAAAATTGTTGGACAGCTCTAGAAATTTTTAGTTGGCTAATATAAAAGACAAAAATATAAGGCTCTTAGAACTCTTTGAAAGTATAAAAATGAAATAAATCTCTGATGGTCTTAAAAATTGAATTCAGTAAATCTTTACAGAAAATGCAATCTCTTAATGTACCTTTTTATTAATATCTCAATAAATTATTCTTATACACACTTACTCCTTTTGGATATCACCAGTCTTTTCCTGGAATTTGACTTTTTTTGGCAGTGTGATCCTTACACTTTTTTAAATTATTTCCCTCAGAAAATTACAGTGATGATTTTGAAGATGCAGAGGATATTGATGCACCTTTGCTTACTAAAGATGAAGAGACTCATTGTGAAGAAAATCCCAAATTAGAAAAGATAAATGAACCCAAGCAGGTATATATCAGTTTTGTATTCTGTGGTTTGTGACTTCTTTCATCAGTTTGGCTATTTGCCTTGTGAAGATATCAGAATAAGAAGTTCATAGTGTTGCCCATTGTTGTATGAGTTTCTTCACATTTGGTTTAACATTTTCTTAACTTAGGATGTCTGTTTAACATAAATTTTAAAAAAAAAGTCATGACAATTGATGATTTTATGAGAGATAGCTTTTGTCAGATAATTTCCTCAAGTTAAGCTTTAGAATTTGAAAACAATTGAAATTTTAAAACTAATTTTTAAGCTGGTATTTTGTTACCCTCTGTGATAGGACATATCTTTGTGAACTGTATAAATGCCCCTCCTCAGTACTTACGCTAGATAACATTAGTATCTGAAACATAGTCAGTTAAGATGAGGCTTACATTATTCCATTCACATTCAGTGGTGATATATTCTAATTCTCTCTATTCCCAGATCTTACTAAGACTCGTTCCAGGCTTTTGCTACATATTGCCTGCAGAATAGCCTTATCGTTGAAAATAGGTAGTAGTAACTAGTAGAATAATTCCTGTTTGTTATTTTTGTCTTCACCTGAATACAGTCTTTTTGGAACAGTACACTAGGATTAGATGTTTTGAACTTGAGTGAAACTAATGACTAAATAGAAGAAACACTTCAGGGTATATATAAGTATTCTTACTTTTTAATTTACATGATGCTTTTCATATGTATATATGTCAGTATATGTATTTGTTGGTGGGGTATACTTAAATAGTCTTATTTTGAGGGTATACATAAATTGTCTAATTTTTAAATTTTATTTGGTACTTTTCCTTGAAAAAAAAATATATATGTCACTCAGTTTGGTGGGTTGGGAGAGAAGATGATTTTAGAAATAATACAAAAGTTCATGTGACCTGATGAGTATCCTTAGAAATTTAATGGGATTCGTAGTTGGAATATGGCAGTTAACAGTATTGTATGAAAACATTAATAGGTCAAAAGAAGGCATGATAATGTGGTATATTAAGAAAGTATACCATGCATAAATATATGTCAACCTAAATATGGTAGCCTCGTAGAAAGCCGCATGAGTAAGAGTCAAAAGAAGAAGAAATTAAAGCTCTGTTACTATGGGAGGACCCTGCCTGCTGCCTAGGCAAGCGGGGAATAAAGGTGATACTAATTATAAAAATTACTCTGAGGGAACCTATAATGTTGAAGAACTTCATCTGTCTTGCCATTTGGTTGCCTGCCTTTCTAAAAGTTACATCTTTCAAAAGGTAGACCAAACAGATATTTGGTCATTAATTTTGAACAATAAAGGGAAAATTGTTTGACAGTATTGTAATTGCAGACTCTTATGTGAAGTAGCCCTTTTACATTGATGTTTAAAAAAAAAAAAAACAGAATTTTTAAGCAAAATAGATGAGGAGGTGGCACCTAGCTATTTTAGGCAAGAATTTTTAAGGCCTAAAATAATTTTGGTAATTGCCAAGGTTCAGAAGTGTTTTGAGAGCTATAGACTCTCTGGGCTTGAGGAGTTACTGATGAAACCTAGGAAACAAGTTCCTGATCAGTTCCTGATCTCCTCATAGTGGAGTAAAGCACTGGTTTTCAAGTTTGTAATTGCTCATTTTGTGCTCATTTTATGTAATTTTGGTTTTAAAACATATAATAATTTCCTTTAATTTAGGAAGAAGAGAAAACTGGCATGCTGGCTAATGGTAAATATTATGTTTATTTATAGATTTTTATGGACATACAATTAGTCTGCTCAAAGTTTCATCTAAATAATTCTGAATAAATCACTCTTTGTTTTTAAATATTTTTAAATGTTAATTCTAAGGAATTAACATTTGTAGCTTTTCTCAGTAGTATGTCTTTTATGTCTATCATGAATCCATCTGTTATATTTGAGAATGTTTCCATTTTGTTATTTTCCTCAAGATCTTTGCCCTCCACATGTAAATCTGCATTAGAGCACATTTGTTGTGTATTATTGTTTATTAATGTTTTTGTTGTATATGTCTATGCTTTCATATGTAGGAAGAAAATTATGCTAGTATATGTGTGTATGTATACATATATGTGTATACATATAAGATTGTATACCACTTACATCTAAACATTTATTTTTAGGCATTCCTTATGATTAATTTTTTTAGGACAAAAAAACCACACAAGTTTTTCTGCATTCCCTATAGTTTTTCTTTTATCTTCTTCCAGTTGTGCTGCTTGACTCATTTGACTCTGTTGAAGAGGTGAACCTTAATGGACAAGATGAAGCAACACCTAAACCTAAGGCCCTCCCAGAAATGAGTGATAAAGAAATGACAGGAACAGGTAAAAGTATTTTAGAAATTAGCTATTCTCTAAGTATGGAATACTTTATAACTAATTGACTTCATTTCTAGGAAAACACATAAAATAACCCCATTGACAATGAAAACCTTAAAGCTCATATTTTTCCATCATATCTAACAATCTAATAAGACATTACTAATAGTGACAATACTAATAGGCCAACTCAAGTGTGATTTTAAATACTTACAAATGAATGCTGTTAATACAAAATGTAGCACTATAGAGGAATATTAACTAATTTGCTGTGATCCATCAGAATATTTGGTTTAATTTGCCATATGTAGGAGAAATGGGACTGGGTCTTAGTTGTACTTTTTCATAGTTTCCCCATTTTTAGGAAGAAGCTAGGTTACACTCCCAAATTCTGAACTGTCCAAGACAACTGGGCTTTCTTTAAGCTTGTAAAGGTCTTTGAGACAGTGCCTTTTAAACTTCTTAATGCAATGGAGCACTTATCTCCAATTGTAATCTTACCTAGAAGTCTCTATACAGGTAAAAATGACATTGTGTCAGACAGTATATTTTGTTACGTTGTATAGTATAAATTACCCTAAATTTGTCACATTATTGTTTACAAATGGAAACTTTTAATCAACTTGCTTTATAGTCTCAGGATACTTACTAGTCAGCTAAACTGATCCAGGCAGATAAAAGAGCAAAGGAAATCACTAACCAACTTTAAGCATCAGCTTGCATTTTATTTTTATTTTACTTTTTATTCTTACTCTCTTTTGTAGTATATCTACAGAAAACCTCATGTGTCACAGTGGTATAGCTTGATACATCTTTAAATACTGAACACAGCAACCAAATCAAAAAGCAAAAGTCCCAAACATCTTGTCAAATCCTTTATTTCTTGTCACTGTCCTTCCAGAAGTCATCACTATATAAACTTGTTTCATACACTTTTATCTTCAAATATAAATATTAAAGTAAAAAAAAAAACAATCTAAGGTGGGTGCAGTGGCACACACCTCTAATCTCAGCACTGGGGAGGCTGAGGCATGAGGATAGCAAGTTTGAGGCCATCCTGGGATACAGAGTGACACCCTGTTTCAAAACAAACAAAAATTATCTGGTGACACAGAATTTTGCCATCAAGACATGTTACTCACTAGTTGCCCAACTGGTTGTTCTACCATAATGAACATGTGCAGAGCACATGTTCCTTACTTATTTAAATAACCATGTCACATATGCTATGATAGTCTGCCCACTTGAATAGTTTTTGGTAAGCAGACATGAATTCTTTCAAAAGACTAACAGAGCTGCAGCTTTTCTAAGCAGCAATGTACTATAGGAAGGTAATATGTGTGCAGGATGGCCAGAGAAATGTTAAGTTGTGCATCAAAACAAGTAAAAGAGAAGGCAAAAAGTAATAAAAAATATTGCACTACATAATGTCTTCAAAATGCTACAATTGTGGATGTGGCACATTTGAGTGTGCAGGTTGGATTTTATTACAAATTTTAAGTTATAGAACATGGTTTGAAGTGGAATTTCAGTTAGATATCTTTAGAGTCTATGAAGAATTATAATTTTATGAGATACAGTAGGAAAATCACTGGTGTAGGTTATAAGAAAAACTCAGAAATCAAATCAAAAGTATATTGCTCAAAGTAAAAATTCTAAGATGATCCACGATGTGTAAAAGCTATAGTTTTGGGTCTTGTTCTTAAATATTAAATAATCTGGTCAGTAATTAGAAGGTGGTAGAGTATGAATTATTGTCATATGGAGTTGGATTCATATTTCCAACTTTGCTATGTGACATGGAACAATTAATGCCTCTAACCCTTTCCTCCTCATTCAAATGAGGCCTTTTAATGTCAACTGATCATGATAGTGCATAGTAGTACAGTGTTAAGATTCAGCAAGCATTAAGCAGCAATTTTTTTTCTTCTTTTTCTAGCAATTGTATGGTTATTAGCATTATTTATAACCTTCCATTAATAGTTGAAGCTATAAGAAAGAACCTGACAACATATAGTATAAACACTTTCTGATTGTGGGGTATTGAATTTACCCTAGAGCACATTTGGAAGTCTTCAAAAGAGTATTTGGACATGGTATAAGAACTGAAAATTCAATGGTATTTTTTTGTTTTTGTTGTTGTTTGGTTTTGTTTTTACCATGGTTTTCCTAAGTAATAATTATGCTGTATAGATAAAGTGTCGTCAATGATTGTCTTTTCTTAATAATATCATTTGTGAAATTCTTTGTGTTATGCTGTATTAAAGAGGCTAGTAAATATAAAAATGAGGTTTTCTTAACATTGAGGCTAGAAAGGCTAAATAGAGCTAGCCTTTTATTTTCTTTTCTCTTCTAGGCAGGTACCATTTTATGCCAAGACTATATGTGGGAGTAGGCACAGGATGACACTTGCTTCATGAAACTTTGCCCTGTCCTCTGCAAAATAGTATTTGACACTTCTCAGAGTTCTAAAATTGAAAAATATAGGGAACTTTGGATGTACAGTAATAGAGTAACTGCACAGAATCCTTTCATTTTTAATGTAAAGACAGATAAGTAAGCCCTTATGATAGAATGCATGAAAATAGTTAATTTACATAATCATGGAATTATTTTTAATATAACTTGAGTTAATGACTCCAGTTAGGACAAAAGGATGTTTCTCTACTATCTTTTCTGAAAAGGTTCTAATACCTTTTTTATCCCCCATCTCTAATTCCTAACCTTTAGGTTATTTTTCTGCTTTTGTTGCTTTAAAACGTGGGAGCTACTTTCTGATAATCTTGTGCCTATTGAATGAGATATGAGCCTTCATTGTTGCTAGACTGTTTACTATTTCTTTTATGTATACTCAGCAGACACTTAAATGTCCTTTTATTTTTATGGAGGAAAGAAAACACCTTGTGCCTCTTTTCATAGAAATTATCTCTTTCCTTTGGTCATGCTACCCTGAGTCTGGCTGGTAGTTTGGAGAAAAAAATTAGGCTCACCTTAACAGACAAGACATTTTTCTTCAGGTGTTCTTGGAGAATCCCTGTCCCTTAAGTATTGTTAATTGTACTCTACCAGTATCCTCTACTTTTTTGTTCTTAATTTTTGTAAGCATATTTGTTATTTATTGCTTGTGTTCCAAATAGCCCTGGTAACATGAAACACTGGCTAAAAAGAAATCACATTGTATGGCACTCTTACACTTACATGTGGCACTCGACTATCTCTTACCTTTATAGTTAAAAATAGTCCCTTAAGAGTTGGTTTTTGTACAATTTACAGTGTGTATAGAAGATGAAGCTATATATACTGTTTTGTTCTTAAGCATTAATTAACCATGGATATCAAGGGGAAAGGAGACCGGTCCCCCTGTTTGTCTTTTTTTTCCATTCTTGTATGACTCATTCTTTAATTTTGAAAATTCTGTAAGGAGTGAAAATTTTTTAAATGACTGAGTAGGTACTCAAATACCTGAGATCATTACTGTCATTAGTTTCTTTGAATCACTTTTTCTGAAATTTGTCAGCTGGTAAAAGGAGACAGTTAATAGAGAAGGAAGAATAAATAATGATATCAACATTTCTACTTGGTGACCAAGTAAATAGTAATGCCATTAGCTAAACTAGGAAATACTGGTAGTAGCACAAGTTTTGTTGAAGAATATTAGATGTGATTTATTTATAGGACAATCTAAATATTTGTTAGAAAGTTCCATACTCAGAAAAGAAAAAAGGACAAAAGACAGATTTGGAAGTAATGAACATTTGAGTATAAAGTGGGAAGGTTAAAAAAGAGGGCTAGAGATAAGGCACCAGAATGAGCCATTGACCATAAGAAATGGAGAAATAGCCATTGGTGTGATAGGTGTAACAAGGAGAAGAAAAGATGTAGAAGAAACAGTTACCAGAAAAATGACCATGTAAAATATCTCATAGGTTGAAAAGAACTGAGAAAATTATTTTGAATTATAGGAGCTTTGACAGGATGTTGAAACACATAGTGTATTGCAAAGTTAGTGGAGTGAATTGTAATTTAAAAAACTACAGACTACAAAATGGTACAGGATAACAGAGAACAAGAGAGTGATAGTGCTGAGGGAACGATAGACTCCTTCAAAATAATGTGTTAGTGTGGGAAATTTACGAATAGTTTTATCCAATGTCAAGATTGGTTAAGGATAATAGGGTGAGAGAGCAATAACCAGTGAGGTCAGACTTGATAGTTGCCATGTCACAACGCTTCGCAATTTGCTAAAAAGTATTAGTTACCAAGCCTGCTATGAGATCTATAATCCAGCCATGAATTATAGAGCTTTCTATTTGACTCTGCTTTTATAATGTTACTATCCTACAGCCTTGTTCACTGTTCCTAAAATTAAGGAACGATGTTAGTGTTTTATTTCTCCTGTTTACTATGTAATGGCATTTATTTCAGCAGGTATTTCTTCCCGACAAAGTACTAGTGACATTGAAGCCCTACATCAGGCTTATTGTCATGTAGCCCATTCCTTGGGAGATACAGATGAACAAAGAATTGAGAGTAAGACCATGGAAGATATCAGAAGCTCAGTGAAAGATCATCCTCAAGAAAATGAAGAGTCTTCAAAAAATATCTCTACTCCTGAATCTGGTAAAAAGCTGACAGATACATCAAAGTTTTAAACTAGTTTGAGACATTCTTAAACAGTTTCTAGTAGAGTGTATTTTGAATTCAGTTTACAGTGGAGCTCATTTTTAGTCTCAAACTTAATTAGGGTTTTTTCAAATGAAGTCTGGGAATCACTGATTCAAATGTAAAGTCAGAGCTGAACCCAGAATAAAATTTCAGTTCTTTTTTCTAATAAAACTTGACCAAATCAGCAAATGTTGACCTTTTTTCACTCTTTCAGTATGCAGAGAATAGACTTTGAGATCAACTAACTACGTACTTAGCAAATATGTGTATGTTGTAGGTGTAAGTATATATTTATTATTGATATTTGAGAAATGTATTTGATATGCTTGATTTCATGGTAAATATCACAGGATACTTTCCTGTTACAAACAAGTTCATCCTGGGAGGCTTCATTTATTGCACATGATGTTTTGTTAACTATTAGAGAAAATGTCATTTGGTGATGTTAAATGTGTAAATTAAGCCATGTAGATAACATTTTTGGTTTCTACTTTAACTTTTTTCTCTTAGATCTGCCCACAGTAGAGGAATTGATGAAACCTATCAGAATAGATTCCTTTGGGGTCAGTGGTTTTGATTTACACCCTGTCAGGTATGAGTGTTTTGGAATTATCATGTAGGTTGCTTTGTTGAGTTTTTGTTTTCTTACTGTTTTGTCATTAGAAATGTTATAGTCTTTTGTTCTATGTAATCATGCCTAGTGAATGATTAATAGCTAATATTGGCCTATGTGTATCTAAGTGTGAGTCACTAACTGTCTCCTTATATTTGTTTTCAATTCATCAAAATTCTTTTAATGCTAAAAGAAAAAAACAAATGCTGCTAAAAAAAGTTGCTACCATCAATTTGTCCTAAACTTCTCACTGAAATATATGATCTTTTCAGTTTTAAATAGCACAGGGATAGTTGATTCACGATGAGTGGGAAAATGAATCATAGCTTTGCTCCTTTATAAACCAGTTTTAATTTAGTCACCAACTGCTCATTGTCTCACAGGGTAATTCTGTGGTTATAAGAGAAATGGGCTTCATGAAAATCCTCCAGCTTCAATATAGTTTACTGCATGTGTCTGTCATTCTTGAATACAGAGTAGTAATCACAGTAACCTTGTTCTAGACAACTTTGCATTTATGTAATACTTACAGTGTTACATTCAGTGTCTCATATGATCCTCATAACATGCAAGACAGGCATCTTTATCCTCAAAAAAAGACAAGTTACATACCTCCATAGCCCCACCCAATGTATAGTGATGAACTACAATAAATACTGCCTTTGAGAAAGGAAAGTACAGCAGTGTTGCAACTTTGAAAACACAGAAAAGATCCCGTAAAGATTCCTACCTTAGGGATAGGATTTCTCTTGATAAAGCTATTAACTCTACACCTTAAAAGAAATGTCTTACAAATATTGTACGCTATATAACCCCTGGTTCCATTACTTGGGGAATCTATTTGTCTTGCTTGATAATAACCAAAGTGTTTGTGAGGAGGATATGACAGCATCTTTTAGGGATATGATCCTTTCTCAGACTACTTCCTTCCTGCAAGTAGTTTAAGGCTTCTAGGTTTTGGGGGGGTTCATTTGTTTTGCTTTGCTTTACTTTTAAATAGAGTGTAAGCCTTCAGAAAGTTCAGTAGCCTTCTGATCTGTTTGGTTCTAGTCAGTTCCATGTGCCAATAACCACAATTAAAGTTCTTTGCTAGACAGAGGTTTAAATCTGCTTTTGGTCTTTGATTCCTTGGCCCTCTGGAGGTTTTTTTCTCTCAATTTATTTGCAGTAATCTGGATATTTGGGGGAACAATAATCTTAAGCATGAAGAAGACACCCTTGGTATGACCTTTGCCAAGGGACTGAATCACTCTTTTCAACTAAGAAGGCTCATGAAATCTTTCTAATGGCATTTTTCCATGTCGAGTCTTATTGATTAGGTCTAGTCATAGAACCCTGACTTTCATGACTTTTCTATTCCCTTTCAATTCTATGTACAGACCAGTCTGTTCTATCCTTAGACATCTGGTATTTTTATAATGTCTTGTTGAAAGCAGCCAATAGTAGCCAGCACTTAATAACTCTATTCTCTCCAGTTGTTTATTTCTCTTACTACTCCAGGTTCAGCATGTGTATGGTCTACCTTCTAAGCTCTTGTAGAAGACGGTTTATCAAATGTTTTGCAGTGTAAAACATAGGTTGCCATCTTTCCAGTCTTTGTTATCAGTTCCCTGCTGCCCAAAGCCTGGCCACTAAGCCAGTGACACGTGTTCAGTTTTTGTCATGCTAGTACTCAAATTCTAAAGGCAAGAACTAGTAAATGACCCCATCTAGATGCAAAATGGCAAGAATGGGAAGCAGTTTTGATTAACATGTAGCCAAATTCTGCTTGTGAAGAAGGAAAAAAACTGTTATATTTCTGATGATTCCAGCTATTCTAGGAGTTTCCATTAGTTACAGAGAAGCCAGTGTACCTAATATGAAAATGGTAGCCTCTTAAAGTGTTCTTAATTTTATTTTATAGATCATAAAATCAAATGACTTAATAGACCATGATTAAATAATTCAAGAATAACAATTCTCATATTTTTGGATTACCTATAGTTTGCTGGTATTTAATCAAATTTAAGATGTATTTTCCAGATGTTAAATATCTAATTGTCTGAATTGTTTTATTTCATTTAAGTAGTTTAAACCACAGAAATGATTTTAAAATCCTAGTGAATTTTCTCTTTTTACTTTCAAAACTTTCAAAATCTCATACTATGATTACATTTGTGCTTTTTGGTATTTATACTGTATGCCTCCTTAACATAAATTGTCACTTCTTTAGTTTCTTCCAGAAATATATAAGTGTTTTTCTCCTTTTTAAATTTTTTATTAGCATATAATAGTTGTACAGGGGGATACATTGTGATATTTACATATGTGCTTACAATATATTTTAGATTTATCCTCTCCATCCTTCTCCCTCCTCCCCTCCTACTTAGAACAATTTCAACAGGTCTCATTCTTTTATTTTCACATATGAATACAAAGTACATCTACCACATGCACTCTCATTCAACCTTTCCTATGCCCACCCCACTCTTGCTGGTATCCACCCCCAGAAAAGACCTGTTTTACCCTCCTGTCCTTCATTTTTTTAAAGTGTATATTAATAATTCAAGGGTGTTCACCTTGGCACTTCAGGCCTGTATATATTGTGCTTTAATGAAATTAATTCTTCCATTACTTACTCTTTCTCTATCACCATGCTCTCCTAATATTCAACAGCTTACAGTGCATAATGTTATATTATATTCATACATAGATGGAAAGTGTCAATATTTTTTCATTCTCTAACATTTTCTTTCCCTCTCCCACCTCCTATAGTCCCCTCAGACATGCTCACTAATGTAATCATGTTCTCTCACTATATATATATATATACATATATGTTTACATATTTGTTTACATATATATGTAAATATACACACACATATATATGATCGTATATGTGTTTATAGATACATTTAGCTTACAGGTCAAGCTTCCACATTTGAGGAAAAAATGTGACCTTTGACTTTTGAGCCTGACTTAACCTTGCTTGTGTTTTTTCTTGCTTCAAGTGCATATTGACTTAAACTATGAATAAACTATATAAAAGAAATTTATATTTTATTTTTATTATATAAAAGCAGCCTCGGTTTTGTTTGGTTTGGCCTTTCTAAAAGGTCTCAAAGTCACTTTTAGATTATACTATATAATCTATTATTATACCACATTAAAATTATCTGAAATTAAAACAATTATGTAACATTTATGACATGTATATGTTATACAAATTTGTAACATGTGTATGTGTATATATACACATGTGTATATATATACACACACCATGAATATATGTATACATACATTTGTATAATATGTATATGTATGTATATGACTGATAATTGAAGAAACATACTGTGTAAAATTTATCCTTTGTGTCCTGTTTTGTTTTATAGTTCTAAGAAAGTGGCTGATAGTAAAGAAAGTGAATATATTACCTCTTTACCCCTTAAGATGAATGCAAATGCTGCGTCTCAAGACCTGAGACATGTGAACCAATTTTTTGAAAAAAATGATAATGCAGTTTTACAAAAGAAAACACATGGGAGTATGGAAAGTAGCTGTCCAACAGTTGTGGAAGAACATGTTGATAAAATGTGCCTTGATATTTTGAGGAAAAAAATATCTGTTAATTCTTCATTACCACCTCAGGATGACAAAATTAATGAAGTAAGTGTTTATAATCTAAATTGATTTGCTACATTGAAGAGTGAAGTGATGGAAAGTATATAAGTACTGTAAATAAGTGCATACCTCTTCATTAGTGGAATTGATTACATACTGACCTTCACTATACATCCTGGATATTCGCTGGTGATACTTATTACCACACCTCCAGGCCCAAATTCAACATTAGCTTTCTTTTAGAGGCCATTCTTTATACCTTCTTTTCTCCTCTTTTCCTTTTTTTTTCTTTTTTCTTATAGCACATATAGTCCAGAATTTGAATAATTCAAGAAAACAAAGTTTATTCATCACTGTAGTGCTCATTGCTTAGTCTTTCCAGTAGTTTGCACTGTCGGCATTTTGTAATAAAGAATATTATTAGCAACCATGAAGAAACTTATTCTTCATGCATTTTGGTGTTCCTTTTTCTTTGTTTTTCTTTTTTAGCACTGGGGTTTGAACTTGGGGCCTACTTTGAGCCACTCCACCAGCCTTTTTTCTGATGAGTTTTTCATCATAGGGTCTTGTGAAGTATTTGCCTGGACTGACTTTGAATCATGATCCTCCTGATCTCTACCTCCTGAGTAGCTAGATTATAGGCATGCACCATCGGTGCCAGTTTTTTTTTTTTTTTTTTTTTTTGTGGCGGTCGTGAGGTTTGAACTTGACCCCATGCTTGCTAGTTATGCACTCTTATATCTTGAGCCACTCCGCCAGCCCTGCCGTTCCTTTTTAATCCTATTTTTCTTATAGTTCTCGTAGTCTCAATATTCTATTTGTATTTTATAATTTTGAATTAGGTATTTACTAAATAAATCATTTCAGTTCTTTGTAGGATAAGGCAAGGTATTAATACAATTTTTGAATCATCTTAAGTCCAGATGAAAAAAAATAAAGATTTCAAATTTCATTTCAAAAGATGTTCTTCTTTGCCCTCTTCTATGTTCATTGTATCTTGCTTTCTGGAAAGCTTATTTTGCCTTACTAATTTTGTTCTCTCTTGTCTATTTTTGGCAGTACTGGGTTTGAACTCAGGGCTTCACACTTGCTAGGCAGGTGCCGTACTGCTTGATCCACTCTGCTAGCAATTTGTGTTCTTTTTAATGCTGACTTTGAAGGTGTACTTCAAAATGTTTAAATTTTAATGAACTAAAAAACTTTACTAATTTGCAAATTTTATTATTTGGAAACCATTGTCATTTTTCTTCCGTAAATTCTTTAACATCAATAGTTGAAGTTCATTTAGATACTGAACAGTTTCTGTTGTGCACAGACTTTCAGATCTCAACTCAATTCTGGAGCAGAACGAGCTGTGATTGGTAAACAGGTACCATATAAGAAGGCAAGAAGTGCACCTCCTTTGCTTAAAAGAAAACCCCAGAGTGGACTATATGCATCAGTTAGGAGTTCAGGCTATGGCAAACCCAGTTCACCACTCAAGTTATTTTCTACTCTTGAAAAGAAAACTTCAAAGGACATTATGAAGAGCAAAACCTTGAGATCCAGTCCCACCTCAAATCAAGCTAGGAAAAAAGGTAATAATACACTCTTTTCAAGATAGAATTCTGTGCATATAATATGTATTACTTGACTTTTGTGGAAGAGAATTAATTTTAAGGAACTACATTCCTTTTATGGAACATGCAGTTTATAGGAGGTAATAGACCTTGACCCAAGTTATTGGTAGTGGAGGTGATGAAAAGTGGTTAGGTGAGGATATATTTAGAAGATAGAACCAAAAACACAGAGGACTGGTTTTGGGTTGCTAACGGTTTTGGCACAAGCAACTACTAGAATAATGTAGTTACTGTCCCCTAGATGAGGAATGCTGAAGATGAGTAGATTTGGGGCTGGAGGGAAAACCAGGAGTTTAGTCTTCAAAGTGTCAGTTTGACATGCAAGTGGATATGGCAGAGACAGCTAGATATGAGCCCAGAGTTCATGGGGTGGTATGAACTGCATATACATTTTGAGAGTTACTGTTAAAAACTAACATAGATGGCTTTTGAACTATGAAAGTCACTGACAGTACCAAAAGAGTAAGGATGGTTAGAGGGGGAAAAAAGCCAACCAGGAACGGAGGCCCAAGGCATGATTACCTTAATAGATCAGGCAAAACAAGGGGAAACTTCAAAGGAGAGAAGGAGTTGGAGGAAACCTCAGAGCATAGAGAATTCTGAAAATCAAATGAAGAAAGTATATTAGGAAGAAGGATTTGCTCTGTCTCTTGCAAAGGAAAATGAAGACTGAGAACTGATCTTTGGTTTTAGCAATCAGGAAGTCATCAACGAAGTAGAAGAGCAGTTTCCATTGGAAAGGTGGTGGTGCAATGTAAAATGACTAGGGGTAGGAAGGAATAGGAGGAGTGGAATTGGTGCTTCAAGTCATAGAACACCCTGGAAGAAGATACTGTAAAAAGATGCCAAAAATGGGGCAGTAGCTGCCTTGGAAGGTGAGGTAAAGAGAAGCTTTTTTGCTTTGCTTTAACCGGAGAAGTGATAGTGTGTGTGTATGCTGTCAAGAGAAATTTAGAAGAGAGGAAAATAAACCTGTACAGCAGAGTAACAGAATAATTGCCAGGGAAGCATCCTTGAGTGGAAGATCTGTAATGGTGCACAGTAAGAACTGGCATTGGATGAGAGCGTGGATGCTTCCTGTGTTGTAGATGTGGAGACCATATGCTGCAAGATGGGTAGATGTGGTAAGGAGAGAATGCGAGTGCTCTTCTGATTGCTTCGGTTTTCCTTGGGAAATAGTAATGTCATTAGATGAGTACTGCCAAAAAGAGAGGAAAAAAAAGTTTTTTCATTTAAAGATGTAAAGAAAGAACATACTATTTATTTGCCATTATTGAAAATAATTACTTAAGATATTTTGGCCCACTGAGAGAAATCAAAAGAATTCAGGAAGGGAAAAAGTGTGAAATGACTAGCAGATTACAACTGTGAACTGAAGAACAACCTGTTCCTAGCTGCTTGGTTCTGAGGAGAGCTATCAGAACTGACCCCTTACCTTGGTCACAGTGATGACCCTACCACCACAGTGTTGCAGAAGGATTACATGCTGCTTCTTTATTCAAGCAATTTCTTTATGACTGCTTTAGGGAATTTCCCCAGGAAACCTACATGAAACAGTCTTATTAATATGATCATAACTCTGTAAGGAAAACATTTGCATGCCTATGAAGATTGAAAGGTTGGCTTTTCTGTATTTTCCAAGTATTTAATAATCATGTGTAACTTTTTTTTTTTTTAAGCAGCACAGGTGTTTGAACTAAAGGCTTCACACTTGCTAGGCAAGCTCTCTGCCACTGAGCCATGCTTCCAACCCTGTCATGTATAACATTTTTAATGAAAAAGTAAATTCTACATTTAAAACGTTAACAGTTTAAAGAAATTATTTTAAAAATATACATTTGGAAGTTACTCACTTACTCTAAGACAGTCAGATAATGTTTATGGAGTGTTTGAGACCTGTAATATTTTATTTTATTTTTTTTTCAGATTTTAGAAATGGGTTTTATTAGTTGTACAATTCTTAATTTTTATTCCAACATAATTTCCAATTGGTATATTTGAGTAAATATTTTAGAACTATAGTCACTGAACTTTACAAATTAGGAGACTGATGTAGTTTATTCAATAAAAGGATTCTTTTGTGTTCCCATCTTTTTTTTACTATAAAGACACACTAAGACACGACCCTATCTGAGGATAATGTTTTCTACTCGATAAGATAAAATTCAGAGAATTACAAAGAAAACTAATTTTATAGAGGCAATTATTAAAATGTTTTAATAACATACTCATACCATAACAATATATGTGCTTATTAATTAATATATTAAATACCATGGATTAGCAACCAGTATAATATCTGTGTAAATTCAGAATATAATGAGAAAAATTGTACCTCTATATCCATGCCACAAAAATATTTGAAGAGGAAAATGTCTATGATTTCCAAGGGGAACAAAGGCATAGGTAAATAAAGGTAGAGATACCACTAACATTTATTTGTAACTCACATCCATAACAGAATGAAATTAGCATTTTAATTAGGGATTAACTAAAATGAATATGAAATGATTTCTATTCAAGCCTGTGGAATCTCTGAAATCATTCATAGGCCTTTGGGAATCCTTGGACTTAGGTAAAGAACTGTTGATCTGTATAATCTTCCCTTTATCCTGATAAGAATACTGAGATCATTCCAGGACTTAGTTCTTAGTGCTAGGTAGTAAATTACCTGGACTAGAGCTAGAAACCTGATCTCCAGGTTGCTTTTCTCATACTCATTCTGTAACAACTAAACTGTTCACACAAAACTCAGCATGAACTCTTAGAGTAGTATACAATTCTACTTTCAATTATGTAGCTATTTTAAAAATAATTTGTAAAAGCCAAGCATTTTGCAAATGATTGGAAGACTTTTTGTAGGTGAACTTTGGGACAAACCAGTTTACGGTATTCATTTTCTTCCTTAGCACTTGTGATGGAGAAGCAAAAGAGCAGCTTCTATTCATAGAGAAGACTAGGAGCATAGCTCTTTTCAGAACTGAAGTTTCCTGTTTCTGTTTTCCATGATTTGTTATTCTTTCTGCATAGGTCTCTGCATCTAAATTTTCATAATGATGAGGATTATAAAATGTCAGTGCAGAGGTTCACATCTATAATCCCAACACCTTAAAAGGCAGAGATAGAAAGATCATGGTTGGCAACCAGCTTAGGGTGGGTGGCAGGGAAGGTAGTGAGACTGTATCAAAGAACAAGCATGCCTTGCAATCCCATCAATGCAGGAGGTATACATAGGAGAATCACAGTTCAAGGCCATCCTGGATAAAATCATCAGATTTTATCTGAAAAATAAAGCAAAAAGGTCTAGAGTCATAGCTTAAATGGTGCAGTACTCACTTAGTAGGCACAAGATCCTGAATTCAAAACCTTAGTACTGCCAGAAAAACAAATATGGCCAGGACATCCATCAAGCGACAGTTGCTATCAAGAACCACCAATCAAAGCTACACATGGTGATACAAGACTGTAATCTCAGAACTTGGGAGACTGGGAGATGACTTAAAGGCCACCATAGAGTACATAGTAAGACATATCTCAGAATAAGTAAATAAATAAATAACACCTCTGGGTAAGGTGATAGAGCCCTTGACCCCAGCATTGGCAGCCCAGTCCATAATTATGAATTTTAGGCAATTTTCCAGAACAGAAGTCCAAAAATGAAGACTCAGACCTTGCCTAAATGGCAAAGAGCCTACACCTCTGCTAACATAGGGGTTCTGATCATGTTACGGTAAATATAAAGGGAGACTAGAAAGGAATGGCAGGAACTTGGGTAGCAGAAACTGATGGGGCAGAGTGCCTGCACCACTTCTCCAAGATTAGACTATCTATCAGATGACCATGATTACACCCCATCATTCTCATGACCATGGTAGAAAAAGAGGTCACTGCCCAAGCCTGCATCCTTCTGGGAGTTCTGCATCTCCAGCAGCACATCAGTGGGGTACTCTGGGGGCCAAGCCACCCCAGCTTCTCCTAACACTGGCACCACATTGTCAGTGAGGTTCACCTCTTGAAAGTCACTCTGCTATTGGGAAGTTCCTGGGGACCCAAGTGGCCTGAGGCAGGCTCAGAAGCAGGTTTCTGGGACGCTGCCAGGAATTTTGACCTGCCAATCACTGGGCTCAACCACAAGCAGCAACATTGGTTCCTGCTGTTCCATCTTCATCTCTCTTTTGTTGTGGGCTGACCAGCTGGCATACTACTTTTTGTCTAGGTGTTGTGCCTTCAGTACTAAAGGGCAATGTACTCTATGTTAGTGCCCATCTCTCTGGAGATTTGGACATAGCAATGTTGCAGAACCTCCAATAGCTCCCTGAACTCCAGTATCTCCTGCACAAACTCCAGGAAGCACTTCCCAGTTTCTCCCTGGACATCTGTATGTCCTGGTAGCTCTGTACATACACAAAGTTACTCCTCCTCCTGGGGTCAGGGCTGCCAGGTGCCAGCAGCTGGCCTTCTGCTTAGGCGATTGCCTGTGCAGCTGTTCATGCTGTTTCTCAGTACTGGTGAGAACAGCATCAAAAAAATGTCACCATTTCTTGGCTATGTAGATCCTTCGGGATACTGAGATCGGACCGAGAAGCCTCTCCACCCTTTTTGACCTTGTGCACTCCACCCACGAGACCTGTAATATTTTAGTATGGGTTTTAGGATCCCTTCTAGATATTTCTCCTAAATGTTGTTTATTACTAACTGAATAATGTATTGGCTTAAGAATTATTTCTACTCTTTAGAGTTTTCTAAGTTACCTTAAAATGGAAAATTGGACTAGAATACCCATTAATTACATTTTTCTAGTTTAACATATGTTACTGTGGTATTATAGCAACATTTTTAATCTCTTAAAATCAAATTTAGGTTAGCTCTTAAAGTCCTCTGTGTAATTTACATCAATGATATAATTACATCATTGATAATATAATGTGTTGTTATACATTGCTTAAAAAAAAAGTGTGCTTTGAAGGCTTACTTATCTGAATGAAAATGCTTCAGAAAGTTATCAGCTGTTCTTTGATTCATCATTTAGAAATTCTTACTACTGTGAACATCTAGAAGAATTATTTAAAAATAATAAAGCCTGAAGTTATCCCACTCAATTTCATCACATTAATTTAGCTCCATTTGTCATTTGCCAGGAGTCTTGGGTCAATTAGCCATGTGTGTCAAAGTGGGTAGAATGTGACTGTGGTGGTAGTGGTGCAGTTACCGTAGTGAACAGCTGTGCTGAAAGGTATACATCAGCCTATGTGGAAGTCATCATTTTATCTCAGTTTTCACACTGCTTTCATACTTATTTTGTTACATAGTTGTTAGATCCACATTCAACTTTGTATTTGTGTTTCTTTCATCCATTGTTTGCAATATTTAGAAATCTTGTCTGGAACAAAACTCATCAAGCCTGCAGCTTTGAGTAAACCAGTTTCCAAAAATGAAAGTTGCCTGGCTACTCTTAAGAAGTCTGACGATCCTATAGCAACTGAGTCTTGCATTCAATTTCAGACTGTAGGTATTAAATTTCACATTGGTATTCATAATGTTTTATATTCTAAAATTGCATTAAAACTTTGTAAATAACAAAATATATGATCATTGCACATTGCATACACATGTAATATCAATGAATCTCATTAATGTGTACAAGTGATATGTTAATACAAGCATATATAAAATAAATAATAAACATGAAATTTCTTTCCTTCAAGAAAAGATTTCCTAAGTCACTCATACTGATTTTCTTTCCAATAGGACATTATGAACCATCTTATTTTTATTTTGTGTCCTTTATTTTTTTTTCTAACTACTTATATTCGAGTGTTATCTATACAGCTAGCATAATGAACTAATGCTTTTCCTTAAAAGGATTCATCAGAATATTCTGGTGGGAACAAGGAGAAAGAATTATTTATGCTTAAAAGAGTTCAAGTAGCAGAGGAAAAATGGAGGGGTGCACAAGCCCTAATTGAGCAAATTAAAGTCGCATTCACAGAAAAAGAGAAAGAGCTGGAAAATAAATTGGAAGACCTAAAGAAACAACAGGAAAAAGAACTCCTCAAATTGAATCAAGAAAATTATATTCTTCAAGCCAAGGTACTAAGCACATTGTTCCATTTTTTCTTTTTATTTATTAAAAACTATGTGTTCTCCCTGCTAAATGCATTGTCATCCTGGGCTTCTGCAACTGTTTGACTTGATCTGTTTGCTGTATAAAATATGGTCATGGTTCTGGAGAGTGCCTTCTAATATGAGACTAAATTGAACCCCTGTGGGGGGCAGTCTAAATTGGCTCTTTTCAGTGATTCTCCTCTGGTAGCAGTTCTTTTTAAAGCAAACCAAACCAGTTAGTTCATTGTGACCTTCAGAGAAATTGAAGTTGGAGCAAGAGCTGCTATAGAAGGTCTATACTCAGAGAATGTCATGGTAACATCACAGAGTTCTTCAGCTCACCAAAACCATCAGCACAGAACACTGTTTCAGACCATCCAATGTGGTCAGTGTTCTAAGACATTTTGGATTTGAACACCTTGAATTTTCTCTTTCTTCCTTACCTCTCACTTCATCATTTCCCTCTACATATAAAACAATTTGTGTATTTTCTTAAAGTTAAGTAGTTTTGAAGAAACAAACAGAAAACAAAGATGGTTACATTTTGGAGAAACAACTGATCCTGTCACTGAAGAAAAGTTGAAACAAATCCAAAAAGAAATACAGGAACAAGAGACACTTCTTCAAGGATATCAACAGGTGTGGCAATTCTTCAGTACATAATGAATTTGGTTTTGATCCTTTAATTATAAAAAGTAATATATTAAGTATATTAAAATAATATATTACTTATTACTATACAATGTAGCATGTACTATTAAAATATAAATATTAAAATATCCATGCTCATTTAACAGACAAATATGAGGAAGGTAATAATTTGATTATCTGCACATTTCTCATTGGTGAAATCAAAGTGGCATGGGTTCTGTATTTAAAGAACCTGGTTCTCAGTCTCAGCTGTACCACCTGCTGTGTAGACATCAATGAACTTTGCTTGTTATTAGTTTTAATAGCAGCAATTCTTAGAAAATACCCTGTTTCTCTTTAGTTTTCTATAATGTTTTGTAATAGATAGTATTGGCTAGTTTTCTAATATATTCAGAAATATGAATCTGAAGTCAAGTATTTGATCACTCTGAGGGTGAACAATTTTTAAATTTAATATGAGAAGATCTGTTTGTTTATAGAGGCAGCTATTTCCAGCCAGGACAGACTTAGTGATCTCACAAATCTTTATCATTGCTACCTGCCTCCCTCCTTTCTTAGTCCTCTCCCCTTCTTTCTTTACATTCTTCTCTTTTGACGACCATGGCCTGAGATTTGAGCCATGCATTATCACCCAGGGGCATTCAGAGAAAGTATTATTATGCCAATGATAACATGATTTGTTCTAAAGAAATAGCCTGATTTTACTGGACACCATGCCCTTGAGTTAGAATCCTTCAGACCATTTCTCTGATTTTGACATATAGAGAGGAATTTTAAGATTTCACAATCATCCTTTCCCCCTGAAGGTAATACTAAATTTTTGTAACAAGGTATTTGGGGAAGATCATTAATTCTGTATGTTTAAATGCCATCTGCCAGTCACTATCCCACACGTGGTAAGATAATCCATGAGTTTTCATTAGATGCTCAAAAGGCCCTTATTTTTCATCAAATTCTCAATTTAAAAGAGGTTAATAAGAGCATCTAAACATAGATTGGTACCACCCCCTTTCTCTATCTCAGCTAGTTTGACTCACTTATTAGCTCAAACCTAACCTGGGTCTGTTCTCCACTCTGCCTTACCCTGGCAACTTTCAGAAACACTCAGTCTTTAACTCCCAGCTCACAGTTTCAGATACAAGCAGGAATGCCCATTATGGCTACAACTAATTACTTCACCATTGGAAGCCAGGTTTCCAGAATCTCCCTCAAGTCATGATTTTGTCCTCTTAGGCCAGAAATAAAAGAGTGTATGAAGTCCCTGGGCCTTCCCACCCTTGGCCCACCCAGTTGGAGGTGGTGATACCTTCAACCACTTTCCCATCTACCCTTGTGAAATGCAGGGTGTCATAATGACATTGGGCTCTTAAGCTTTAGAATTTTTGCAACTTTTTTTTATCAAGTAAGCGTTTTAAGTGTTTTGGAAATAATTACTTTTAAATAACAAGTTTTCATCTAAGATAATGTACAAAGTTTGAAAAAGACTATTTCTCCATGTTATGTGCTTCTGGCCTGTTGACTTCCCTTCCTCTCCTTGTATATAATATCTTTTTTTTTCCCCTTTCTAGCAAATACTTTCAAAAGAACTGTGTACATTTTAACATAAAAAAATTATGTTAAGCCTCTTGAAAAAAAAGTTTGAAAAAGATTTTGTATACTTAAAACTGAAGAAATTTAAAAGACTTTAAAATATTTAAAAGATTTACCTAAGGGAGGATAAATGACCCAAACATTGTATGCACATATGAATAAAAGAAATAAAAAAAATAAAAGGGATGATGACCCAGCCTGGCATGCTTGCAAAAAAAAAAAAAGATTTACCTATTACAAGCATTTTATGTTATATAAGTGCTGCTGACTTTAAATTTAGATTCATCTTTCTACTTTTAACAAGGAAAATGAAAGATTGTATAATCAAGTAAAAGAGCTCCAAGAACAAAACAAGAAAAACGAAGAGCGAATGTTTAAGGAAAACCAGAGTTTATTCAGTGAGTTGGCTTCTTTAAAGTAAGTACTTTTGGAATTCTTACAATCAAATATACTTAGACTCTGTTTCTAAACATTTTATTGTTATGTTACTAATAGTTATTTTTACTTAGAAATAGTAAACTTTTTTTTTATGTATACTGATTTCCAGTTTGATAACTTTTACATGTTGAATATTCAGAGGATTTTTCTTTTGGTGTTAGATAACTAATATATATTTTAATATTTCCAACATAGTTATATTTGAGTTTGATATCGCATTCAGGTAATTCAATATATAGTATTGATATATATTCATCTTGATCACTCATTAAGCCCGAGATTCTTAACCATTTCCTAAAGAACCACATAATTAATAGTTAAAAAAAAAACATACAGTATCATTTTGGTCTTCGGTTTTCCTTCTCCAAAACCTGAGCTAGAGATCTTTGTGGAGGTGATATCCTGTAGGATAACTCTCAAGAAAAGGAGACAGGGAAGCAAGATGGGTGAGGGAGGAGAGAGAAAGTAAGAGTGTAGTCTCAGCTAGAGCCTGGCTCCATTCTGTTCCCACCAAAAAGCCCCGGAGAACAGATCATACCACAGAGTTGTTATCCACTTGAGGCAAGGGGCGGCCCTAGTCACTGGCAGGCATGTACCTGGGAAAGGAGTGGGGATGTCTTCCAGGCCAGGAACTAAGGTTTGGCTGAGGGCATTTCTCTAGAGAAGGAGACACCAGTGAGTTGTTGCACCCAACACTTGCCACAGCATGCAGCAGAGCACAAACACCCCATATTTCAGATTGCAGAGTCTTTGGGCTATTACTGCTTCCAGCTTTAACATACTAAGTAAAAATGCCAAACCTACAAACATGGACAAACTAGGGTACAATCTTTTTGGAAATAACTACTATTTGTGCATCATTTAACTACTATTTGTGCATCATTTCACATAAATGCCTAATCATTTAGATAGAACTGTTATCAGGAGAACTTTCCTTCACCATGAATGTCATGAATGTTACCATGTTTATTGACAGGCTTGTTCCTTTTTTGGTGGGGTGAGCAGAGGGAGATGCTAGATAACTTACTGCATAAGAAGTATAACTATTAGCTCAGACTGACTTTTTTCATGCAAAATAGGAAGACACTCTGTAGTAGACAGAGCTAGCAGCTATACAGCTTGGCAAGCAGAGGGCACCTTTTTGTGATTAAAAAGAAAAAAAAAAAACCTCCTTTCTCCTGGTAGATGTAATGCCAGGCCAAGTATCTTGATGTGGTGCATAGAAATATTTACATCTGCTTTCCAGATGCTTCCATAGTGCATTATCAAATATCACATCTTTTACTACCTGGCTTCTAAAAAGAATTATTCCAGGATCCCAAACTGAAGTTCTAAATGAACTTCCACAATGAAATAAATGTTTTATTTAGTACAGTATGGCTAGATGGTCTTAATACAGATTCCTAAACTCTGCATAATACCTCTGCCAAAAAAAAAATTAAATCTGAGATCCAAAGAGTGTTTAGTTTTGTTTGCTAGTTTCCATGTGTAAAATTGGCAGTTTGTGTTTCTTAGAAAAGAGTGCAGTAGGACAAAGAGTTTATTAATACCGCAAGGAAAATACAGCCAGCACATTTTTTTTGCATTAATGTTTATTTCTTTGAGAATTAAGAGGAAATACTTTTATTTTATAAATAAGCCAATAATCTTAAAGTTTCTATTTTTTTAAATTAAAACTATATGCATCTCCCTTAAAGTATATAGTATGCTAATATTTTAATCTTTAGACTAAATAAGATTTTTATCTTCAGTGATTCATCTAGTTCTAGCATTCATTAGTTTTTAATTTTTAAGACTATATGGTATTGAAAGGAATACCTTGCTTTAAAAAGTCTTTTTTTAAATTTTCAACATAAATCAGGGAACAGATGCATAAAAGTCATTTCCTATCTCAAGTAACTGAAGATTCAGCACCCACCAGAAACCAGAGTTTTACAGATCTATTGGCAGACCTGCGGACAGCACAGGTAAGCTGCATGAAGATTTCAACCATTAGGGGTAATAAAATTATTATTAAAATCTCCATATGTGTAAAAAGTCTGTTTTTGTAATGCATATATAACTAAGATTTATTTTAAATCTTACACCATTTAAGTATTAAGAAGTATCTAAGTTTAGCAGTTAGTATTCATGTAACCTTGATATAGAAGAAAACATTGCAATATTGGTTTAAATTGTACCAGTATTACCTCTTTGTAACTCAGGCATTTATCACATGGAGCCATATCAAGAGATACAACCTTTTTAGGACCTATATACTTTATTTCAAACAAATTCCTTATTGGAACACATGAGTATATAGCTAAAATAGTAAAATTTGGAGGTAATTATTCCCCTTAAAAAATGAATTGGCTTTTTTACCTGTCTTCCAAAGTGCTCAGTGCATTTCTAGACAGCAGAGATATAGCTTGAAAGTATTTATATCAAGATAGCTGAGATAAAAATGAAATGCAATGCTGTTCCATAACTTTTTTCTTTATTTTTGTTAGACTGTATTATAAAAGACATGACCTAAAATTTTCTAAAGCAATGTGGATTAATGGGAGAAGTTTTAGAATTTTGAACAAGTTAATTCTATCTTAAGTAGTAGTATTCCATACATAACATGGTTGTTATGACCTCATCCTCAGGAACTCTATCTTCATAGCCATAACAATCTTTGTGACCATCAAACCACTCTTCCATATTTCCACACATCCTCTTCCCCACTCCTGCATTAAGAACCACAATACTAAACTCAAAAGCCTTTCCAATCTGTTTGAGTGATTGTGTAATTTAGGAAAATTCTAATTACATACCAATTTTTAATAAATTTCCTACACAGTTAAATTACATAGAAATCTAAACATACTGTAGTGTAATAGCTGATGTTTAACAGGTTTCGATAGTCTATAAAATGCAACTGCACAAATGAATCCATTAGGGAGCTTTCTTTAGGTACATGTACATGTGTGTAGAATAATTAGATATATAGATAGGTAGGTACATAGGTGAAAAGAATGAATGAATGGACACCTCCATTAGTGGACCTCAAAAATTTGCAAGTTGAAACAAATTAACTCTGCCATAATTTATGAAGGCTTGTAAGAATGTAGTAGGAGTTCAAGCACAGCACTGGATTCATTCAAGAGTTCTTATTAGTGCCCTTTTAAAAATTTGGTTTTGAACATGATTTTCTGACAAATAGAAAATTTCCACTAAAAATACCAAAAATACTCAATAAAATATAATAAACATCTTGTAAATGATTACTAAGCTCGAAAGAAAGTAAGGGAAACTTCTAGAGGCCAGAGAATAAAAACAATGAGGAATAAAAGCATAACAGTAAGCATCTGCCCTTTATGCCACCAGTTCAGTAACCAGAAAGCCTAACTGGTAATAGCAAAATATTGTCAGCCTAAAGAACATTGAGAGAGATTCTCTAATGATTAATTTGAGAACTGATCATTTGGGAATAGCATTGCAAAGGAGATCTGCTTGCCTTGAAGTAACTATGTGTATCTTTAGCGAGATTGAGGCAAAGGGTTAAAGGCATAAAGGTAAAAATTCATGTAAGCTACTTGGATACAGAGTTCATTGGTCTTGGAGACTCAGGGCAGGAATTGGCAGCAGCTTACTGGCAGAAGTGCCATTGCTGGGCAGGTTGTTCTGTTGAGAGTACCTTATAGTCTTAAAGAATGTTAGACTTTGTTACAGAAATATGTGAATATATATGAAGCTTGCAAAAGCGTGGCAGGTACACATAGAAGGTAGAATTTCTTGTGAGTTTTTTTTTAAAAAGTCCTTGCAGCAAACATCTCAAACAGACAAGCTTGAGTTCTGGCCATTGTGTTCTGACTCTTAATTTTGTCTGAGACTTACAAGACAATTTCACTTTGGTAGTAGCAACTTATACAGTATAGACATGACACCTTCAGTGGACCACATCTCTCAATAAAATAGTATAATATGAAAAATCTAGGTTATCAAAACAGCTTTTCTGTCTCAATTCAGCCTCTGGGTAATGAGGGAGCAAAACATCTTGTCTGTTCAGTACATGTGCTTTATTATTCATTGTAAGTGTTGCAACTCCATGATCTAAGTTCATGATGGTAAAGCTGCCAGACAAGGGAAAACCTAAATAAAATTTTTTAAAAAGACAATTTGTTCAATACTTTTAATAAAAATTATTTGGGGATTTTTTTATGCAGATACTAAAAGATGAAGTGTAAATGTATCTTTATTTTCATTTAGTTTAATATTTTGAATTTAAATAGTTGGATATTTTGAATTTAAATAGCTTTAGAGCAAAAACTGTTCCTACTGTAATGTAATAGTGTTCATATGAAGTATTTTTGTACAGTTTAATTTATGCTTTAAAAATTAGTACCAATTAGTGTATTCTTAAAATGATAGCTGGTTCTTTATAAAGTATGGATGGAATGCTATAAAAGCTAAGGTCCTGAGCCTTTTTCTTTTATGATCCCAGAGTTAGGACACTAAAGATTCAGTCAGTCAGTCTTCACTGAGCGCCTGCCATGCTCCAGCCATTCATTCAAGCATTGGAAAGATAGTGGGCAAATGAGACAGTCATACATCACCCTAGGAACTTATATTCGAGTGGAGAAGATAAACAGTAGTAAACAAATAATTGCAGAAGTAAGTGCTTTGAAAAAAATCAAAATGGGGAGGCAAGATAGAGGTAAAGCCGCACTTAATAATGTAAGGAAGTTCTCACTGAGAAACATTCAAGTTGAAATCTGAAGACAAGTCTTCAGCAAGGGGGAGGAGCAAATGCAGAAGTCCTGAGTTAGGAATGAATTTGGTACCTTCCAAGACTCAAAGTGGATGGGGAGAGAATAGTGGAAGATTAAGACCTCTCTGAATGTCTGCCCAGTCACTTACAAGGGAGGGAAAGCACTACTTGCCAGGCAAAGGATTGATTGATAAGGGGCATATTGGCTCTTTTAAAGATAGGCAGTCTCTTGCCCTTGGATATATGCAAGCCTCAAGTGAACATCCATTTAAGCAGTGACTGCATGATCAAACCCAAGATGTTTAAAACCTTTGAATTTTGAAATTCTGAATTCCATGAACTAGGTACTGCTAGCAAGCATTTCAAAATTTATTGAAACATTAAAAAAATACATATTTCCAATTTCCAGAAAGATGTAAGTGGACAAAAACTTGAAGACCAATGCTCCTGGAAAGACATCCACAGAGCACATAAAAGACTAAACAATGGAATGATGCAGTTAAATCTGTGATGTTACTAGAAACCAAGATTATATAGTGCTTTATGAATACTTATTTTCTTCGTAAGACTTAATTTTAAATTGTAAGGTAGTGTGATATAGGATTTGTGATAGTTTGTTATTTTGTTACTAAGTACACTGCCATGAGTCAAGAGTTTCTTCAGCATTCTTAAGTTTGGTTCAGTGTATATTTATTGAGTACATGCCATGTGCTTAGTACCATAAAGTAAAACAGGTAACAGTAACTCACAATCATGGTCCTCACAGAGTGTTCAGCCTGTGAAGGGGCATGAGCACAAGCCAGAATTATATGAAAAAGAAAGTCAGAGTGTTATACTATAGCACAGAAGAAGAAATCATCAGGAATAGTTAGCTGAATGTGAGCTATAAAGAGGAGTGGGGCTCAGTGCTTCAAGTATTGAGAGTAGTGCAGAATATAGGGCATATTAAGAATTCATTTAGCTTTTTTTAAACACCCCAAACTACGTATTTTTGATAGAAGGGCTAGCAAAACAAAATTCTGCTTTCAGATAAATAGATAGTAGGTAGTGAGTGAAGAGTGCCGTGAGAAAAAAATAAGACAGTGTACATGGAAGCCAGGAGAAGGTTTGCTCTTTTAGAGTAAGCAGGAAAGGTCTTCCTGGGGCTTCATTTGAACAGAAATCCTAAAAGCGAAAGGAGCGAGCTACCTGGCTATCTTGAGGTAGAGTGCTGCAGACAGAGGAGGCAGTAAGTGCAAACCCCTTGAAGTATGAATGTTCTAGGGGTGCTCAAAAAACAACAAGGAGGTCTCTGGGGCTGGAATGGAATAAAGGGGGAAGATTTACAGTAGCTGTGGTCAGCCATGATCAAGGCTAGATTATATGACATCGAAGGTCATGACTGAGGTCTTTGGGTTACTCTAAGAGCCACCAGAGTTTCATATGGAGGAATGATACTAACTGACTATAGCAATTCTTCTAGCTACTGTAATGGCAGAGGGTAGAAGCATTTTTGATGGCTTGAGTGAAGGAGAAACTGTACCACAATTTATTGCATTTGAAAGTAAGTTACTTTTGTCTTTCTTTCAATTTTAAGAAAGAAAAAATCAGTTTGTTGGAAGACATTAAAAGATTGAAGCAAGACAAACAAGCTCTTGAAGTAGACTTGGAAAAAATGAAGAAAGAGAGAGACCAAGCCAAAGATCAGATTGCTTATGCCACAGGTAAAATGAACTAACACAATTTCCCTTTATACTCATAATTGTTCTAATTTTTATTTATTTATCTTGGTGGGACTGGGATTTGAACTTGGGGATCCACACTTGCAAAGCAGTTGCTCATCACTTGAGCCACACCTCCAGTCCATTTTGCTCTGGTTATTTTGGAATTGGGGTCTCGTAGACTATTTTCCCTGGCTGCCCTTGAATCATGATCCTCCCAATATTTGCCTCCTGAGTAGCTGGGATTATAGGAGTGAACTGCCACTGCCTGGCTAATTGTTCTTGTCTTCAAGTTAAGTAACACAAAATGAATGGTACAGATAAAATGCTATTCCTTGAACTATATTGTACTCTTAGAAACATTTTTAAAGTTGGTATTAAAAGATATGTAACTTCTATTGATTTTAGCTGAATACTTGCAAGAACAAAGACAATCAAGGATTATTTTTAATTTATGGCATTTTATACTTATTTGTTTGCATATCTGTGATCCCAAACAAGACTGTAAACTTTCTGAGGGAAAGGTCTGTCATTTTATCCCTGGGTCTAAAACATATGATCTAAGTATTTGCCAGGTGAACACATAACACTGCACTGTGTTTTATAGAGAATGCAAAAATAAATGTGGCATACATGGTCCCCACCAGGAAAAACAAAAGTGAGTCAGATAATGCAGAGAACTTTAGCATCAGAAAAAAATTACAAATAAACATAAGAGGAGATGGGGTGCTAAATCAGAGTTCAGAAAAGAATGACATTTGAGCTGGGCCTTGACTAATAGTAGGATTCAAAAGTGAAGGTGGGAGGGTAGGCTGCTCAAGTGTCCTGTGAGCACGTTATTGAGTGCAGCTATGGGTTGGAACTTAGGATGTCAGAACATGGAGCTAGAAAGATCAGAGGAGCCCTGTTTGCCAAAGTAAGGATCTGTCCTTTACAGTATCTTCATCTTCAGTGTAAGGTGTGTACATAGAAATCCATTCCTAACTGTTTGTTAAAAAAAAAAAGAAAGAAAGAAAGAAATGGCATTCATTTTCCTCATCTATAAAATAGAATAATATTAAGAGGTTTTTTTAAACTTTTTTAAAAGTTTGAACTTTTTTCATATAAGTTTCTTGTAGCAAATAAAACAGTACACGGTAAGCACTCATGAATGTTTGCCATTGCTCTTTTTTACTATAAATGTAAGCATTCTTCATTTTATTATCTCAAATCTGTTCACATGGAAACAACTTCACTTTTATAATGAAAGTCAGTGGGAAATAATTTATCAAAAATTTCTAGCTAGCTAACTTGCTAGCTAGAATGAAGTTGAAGATAGGGATTATGCACACTTATCTCTTGTTTCATTACTAATACACAGGTATTAGTAATTATCAGTATATATCAGTTGTTTCATGCCTCTTACTCATAATGTTTTCAATGAACAGCATTGCTTTTCATTCAAAATCTTATAATTTTATTTATTTACATACATACATAATTACAATCAGGTTATTGAGTTACTTCATTTTACAGGTGAAAAACTATATGAAATAAAAATTTTAGAAGAAACACATAAACAAGAAATCAGTCGTCTGCAAAAGAGATTACAGTGGTATGCCGAAAATCAGGAACTCCTGGATAAAGATACAGTCCGTCTTAAAGAAGCAAATGAGGAAATTGAAAAGCTAAAACGTGAGGTATAGATCATTTTAGAATGTATTTCTGTTGATGAGCCCAGTTTTCCTCATTACCAATCTATGTTATACCACTGAATTTAAGGTTTGAGTTTTGGTTTGTGTATAGAATATAGTCTTTTCTATAAATGAGACTGAATAAATGCCAGCTCCTTACCACGACCTCTCAGGTACCTTTGTGGTCTCAACCTTGTTTGCCTCTCAGGAATTATTCTTACTGAGTCACTCTCCGCCAGCCACACCAGAGCTCCTCTGATTCTTGATGGTACCAAGCTCATTCTACTTGCGTTGGCCTGGAATACTCCTGCCTAGCTTTTTCCCATGTCTCACTCCTCCTCCTTCAAATGTCAGCTCAAATTCCTACTCCCAGAAAAACCTTTCCTGGCTCTCTTATCGATTGTAGATGCCAATCCCACCCCTTCAAGCACTTTGTTTCCTATCCTTTCATTCTTTTGTTTTCTTCATAATGCATGTCACTCTCTGAAGTAATTTACTTATTGATTTACTTACGAGCTTCAGAACTGTCTCTCTTCAGTGGTGCATATGCAACATGAGAGCAGAGACCTAGTTTGTCTTGCTTGCCCTCCCTATCTCCAGCCACCTTATTCTGTATCTGGAACTAGGGAAGAGCTCAATCAGTATTTGCTGAAGAATTAATGAATAATTAACTGACTAACGTTATGCTTCCCTTGGTGCTTTTCTGTTTTAAATAGGCTTCTTAACATTTTCTTTCTTTTTTGACAGATTGAGAAATTGAAAGCTGAATCTGGGACTGCATCCCCTCAGCAGAAGTTACGTTCAAAAGATAGAGCACTTGATGCCAAAAAAATTCAGGATTTAGAGCGACAAGTATGTGTTGAGGGTAGATTTTTACTAAGGTATTTTTTACTTACAGTGCACTTTTGTTTTATCATTTCACACAGGATGTTATTAGCTGGGAAATTCTTGTTTTAAAATAACATTAATAAAACAAGCATTTTATATAATCTATGGCTTTATAAATAATTTTTAGACTAATGTTCCTCAATTATAAGATGGAGACCTAATGATACAGGGTTATTTGGCATCTGAGCTCTATTTGACATCTTGGAAGAAGGAAGCAGAAATTTGAAGCTGGATATAGTTAGAATTCTCCTAAGCTGGCACACACCTGTAGTCTCAGTTACTCTGGAGGCTGAGGCAGTAGGATACTTGAACCCAAGAGTTCAGTTCCATCCTGGGCAGCATAGCACAACATAGCAAGACCCTGTCTCCCTGTTTTGTTTTTTTTTTTTAAGAATGAGAATGAGTCCTCCTGACCAATGGTAGGTGAGAGAGGAGTCCTGGAAGAAAGATCTTCGAGTTGGGAACATGTGAATAGTGCTTGGGAAATGTTACCAAACCCCCTGTTGACAGAATATTCAGCCTCCCAATGAGCTGGTCATAATATTCAACTATTGCTCACTACTTAGGCTTTGAAATATGCATTTATGGTTACTATGACCAGGAAAATGAAGCTTATAAAGATGGTTTCATTGAAGTAGTTTTGGGAAATACAAGGGATTCAAATAGAGAAGGAAGGAGTCAAGTTGTCCCTATTTGCAAATGATACGATCCCATACCTGAAAAAAACTCAACCAAATAACTCTTAGATCTCATAAATACGTTCAGCAATGTAGCAGGATACAAAATCAATACACAAAAATCACAAGCATTTCTATACACAAACAATGAACAGTCTTAATGTAAGATCTGAAATAGTGAAATTAAACCAGGAAAAAACAGGGAACACATTGGATCACATAGGCATAGGTAATAACTTTATGAATAGAACTCCAATAATTCAGCAATTAAGAGAAAGTATTGACAAATGGAACCTTCATGAAACTAAAAAGCTTCTGTACAGCAGAGGAAATTATCACCAGACCAAAGAGACCACCTACAGAATGGGAGAAAATCTTTGCCTGCTATACATCTGTCAAGGAATTAATAAGAAGAACATACACAGAGCTAAAATCTAACCTCTGAAAGAATCAACAACCCACTGAATAAATGGGCAAATGAACTGAACAATTCTCAAAAGAAATACAATGGCCAATAAACATAGGAAGAAATGCTGACCATCTTTAGCATAAAAGAAGTACAAATCAAATCAAAACTACATTGAGATTTCTCCTCACCCCAGTCAAAATGTCATCAATAATACAAAGAACAGCAAATGATGTCATGTAAGGGTACGGGGAAAAGGGAACACTTCTACACTGTTGATGGGAGTGTAAATTAGTGCAGCACACTACAAAAAGCAATGTGGATGTTCTCAAAAAACTGAAAATAGATTATACGAGCCAGTGATACCATTCCTGGGCATATATCCAAAGGAATGTGCTCCAGGATACTATAGAGCCACTTGCATGCCCACGTTTGTTGCAGCACTATTTAAAAATAGCCAAGCTTTGGAAACAGCCCAGATGTCCCACAACTAATGAATGAAGAAAATGTGGTATATACACAATAGAGTTTTATTCAGCCAAAAAGAAGAATGAAATTGTTTTCAGGTAAATGGGTGGAACTGAAGAACTTCATGTTAAGCAAAGTAAGCCAGGCTCAAAAAGTTAAAGGTCACATGTTTTCCTTCATATGTGGAAGCTATACCTATAAGTTAGATTTATATACATGTATACATATATAATATGTATCTATACACACACATATATATATGTATCTATATATATAATGAGAGAAAGAACAAAATTGAGTGGAATGAGTTATCTGAGGGGACTGGGAGGTAGGACAGGGAAAAAAATGTTAGAGAATGAAAAATACTGAAACAACCCATCTATATAAGAATATAATGTACTTCACTGTAAGCCATTTGGTGATAGAGAATGAGAAAGTAATAGGCAGAGGGGATAATTTGATTAAAGCACAATATATAAGTGCCTAAGTGCCAAGGTGAAACTCCCTTGAACTATCAATATACGCTTAACCAAAAAAAAAAAAATATATATATATATATATATATATATATGAAGGCAATTGGGTAAAATAGGTCTTTTCTGGAGGTGAGTACTAGTGGGAGTGTACTCCTGCTGGAAAGGATGGATGAGAGTGAGTATGGTGAATGTATTTTGTATCCATATATGAAAACAGAAGAATGAAACCTGTTGAAATTGTTCTGAGAACGGGGAGAGGGATGAGGGAAAATGATGGAGGGGTAAATCTAAGATATATTGTAAGCACATATGTAAATATCACAGTGTATCCCCCTGTACAACTAGTATATGCTAATAATTTTTTTAAAAAAATAGTTTTGGGGAGAGGCAGAATTATAATTAGCTTTTCCTCCTGTTTTTAAAACTAAATAGTCAAATGAATAAGAAATGACAGCCTTATTCATAAGAGAAATAATTCTCTAATCAAGCTGTGATACTTAACATAGGGTATTATTCCATCACAAATCCAAAACTGTGAGGTCATCACTGCACTGAGTATTAAGAAAAGGAAGAAAACCAAGCAAAAAATTAACTTCATTACTTTTACAGGATATTTTCTTATGTTGAAAGATGGAACTTAGTAGTTTGGTTCAGGGGTCAAGAAAGGAATAGGACAAAAGTGGTATGAAGAGCTAAAAATATTACAAAGTAAGTATAGTCATGGAAGACTTAGATGGTCTTCCATGCTTAAGAGTTAAATTAGCCAACATGGAAAAATTTCTCCAGAACTGTGAGAGAAAATAGACCAAAAGATCTAGTCCATTAAATTAGATGACTTTTCAAAGGGAAATCCGGTAGAACTAAATATGTGAGAGTGAAGATATAAAGTGTGCTTAAGATAAAAAATTAAGAGTTCAAATGATGATTCATGTTGGAAAAGGAAAAAAATTTCCTCTTTTTGGGGGGGTGGGTATTGCAATACTAGAGTTTGAATTTGGAGCCTTCCATTTGCTAGGCAGGCACAGCACTCCACCACTTTAGCTACACCCCCAGTCCAAGTAACCTCTTTCATTAACACTTTCACTAAACAGTTATTGGTTAATCACCTTAGATTACATCTTTGTAAGATATTCATAATTTAATATTTTGTGTAATTGGATTGCTGCATGTACATTTTAGATGTTACTCTGTTTCCTTCAGCCTTTCTATCCTATTGATTTCAGACTTGAGTATGTATTTTTATAATCACAATATATTCAGAGTCATTTTGGAGCCATATTCTAAGATTAATTGTAAATAAAATATTTTTTCTAAATTATTTCTTAGAAAAATTTCATAAGCTAAAAATGGGGCTAACCAGATGTATTTTGTAATGAAAATTTCATGTTGGGTCTCTTCATGCTTTTATTTAATGGAATATTTCATAGTATAATTTTCAGTGAGAGCTTTTTTTTTAACATATGTTCCCCACACCAGTTACACTGGTATCATGGACCAAAGAATAATATTTAGTTACAAAATCAAATAAAGTACAAATAAAATTTAATTCCCTCTCCCCTAAAAGTAATATATATTTCAAGATACCAAAACTAGACTGAAAATATTTCTTAAATTGAGTAAGTCTATTATAAGTTAAACTCATTTTTTTTAAAAATCTAGTTTTCTTTTTAATGTATATGGTGTGTATATATATATATGTGCCTCCAAATGCTTATAGTTCACTCAAATAACTAGGTTTTTCAATACCAAAGAAACAAAGCTTTGAAAATTTTCAGGTGAAACAAATTATTTTTGTATCTTGATATATACCAATTTATGGCTCATCAATAAATTTGCAAGCAGTTTCCAGGAATGAAATATTTACTGTCAGCTCCTCAAATGGTGTGATCCTTAATTGCCTAGTATGAGTACTGTTGTCTAAGCAGGATTTTGAACTCCACACCCCATCTTGTCATAGGAAAGATGGCTTTTTAAGCGAAAGCATAATTAAAAACCAACATTTATCAAGTCCTCGCTATATGCTGGGTATTCTGCTAAGTGTTTATCAAGATAAAAGTGACTCTCATTTAGTGGCATCTACCCCATGAGTTGATACTGTTAGCATCAGCACTACCCATAAGGTAGGATTTGGATGGAGGAGCGGACCCAAGGAGGAGCGGACCCAAGGAGGTGCTGAAGCTGGCAGCTCAGTGAAACCAAGCATGCTCTTAACCATTGCACTGTACTGCCTTTTGCTGCATTTTGTTGCATGCTCATAGGCTAGAAAACTGTTCAACAAAGAAGTTAGCATCTAAATTAATATTTTTCGATACTATTATTATGTAACCATAATACCTTTTGAGAAGCACATATACATATGCAATACCACACTGATTTCTGTGCACTCTGGTACAGTTCTCTCTTACAGAAAGGCTATAAAATATGTCAGTGTTTTATAGAGAAACTGAAAATTGTTTGGTCTTTGGTGAAGATTTCGTTATATGTCATCTAATTCTCCTTGTTTCCCTATTTAAAAAAGTCATTTTAAATGAGATTAAGCTTATTTGGAAGTGGCCTTTGTGCGAACGGTTAGGGAGGGAGGAAGGGAGAGTGCTGTGACAAGGGCAAGTGCTTAGGAAGCTCTGTGGTTATCGCAAAATGTTTGTATGTTCATGTACATGTAAGTAATTTTTCAGCCCATAGATTGTACAAGCACTGTTGTATGACGAGGCCTGTAGAAAAAAATGAGGGAAGAGCTTGGTACTAAAGAAGACTGATATTAATATAACAGAAAGGCCAAAGGTGTGCTTTGAATGACTGTAAGGATTTCTGTAAACTAACCAGTAGTTAATTAGATGTTAAAGTAGAAGGTTTTTAAATTACATAATCTTTTGAAATTACTTTGCACACTGTGCCTTTGATTTGTCCCGGAGACATGCTATAAACATTTCGAACATAACTGATGTACATAATCTAAGTTTATACATTAAACTGCTTCATTTTTACATGTATTTGTAATTTTAACATATATTCAAAAATATTTTGATAGGTTAAAGAAATGGAAGGAATTCTGAAGAGAAGATACCCCAACTCTCTACCTGCTTTAATACTGGCTGCCTCAGCAGCTGGCGATACAGTAGATAAAATACAGTGGAATTTTTGGAAAAAAGGATTAAAAAGCTAGAGGCTGATCTAGAGGGCAGAGATGAAGATGCAAAGAAAAGCCTTCGGGTCATGGAACAGCAGTTTCAGAAAATGAAGGTAAGGTCAAAGTAGTCACGTAGATAGAGCTTAGAGGTGACTGTAGGGACAGGGTTTGCACCATCTCATTTTAACAAACTCTATAAATATCCTTGCCCATTAAACCATGTCAGTAGTAGCAAAAGAGATTTAGAGACATCCTGTCTTGCTGTCTTCTTTCATCATCTTCTTTTTATTTTGGACAGAATAATCAAGCACAGAATAACCTATACATTGTCCCTCTCAATGTTAGTGGAAATTAAGTCACAAAAAATTAAAATGCCCCTGAAATGTATTCAGTATAAAATGAAAAAAGTTACAGTAGTTGAAAATATTTTCACTGAAATTTATTGAGATGGGGTGAGGGAATGAGACAGAAATACACATTTTGGGGGCTGGGACCAGGGAAGGGGTTTGGCATCATCTCTCATAAATTTCTTTTTTTTTTTTTCTTTTTTGGTAGCATTGGAGATTGAAATCAGGGCATGTGTATGCTAGGCAAGTGCTCTTCCTCCACTTGGCTATACCCACTAGCCCTTTTGTTTTTATTTTATTTGGGGAGACAGGGTATTTTTCCATGCTGGCCTTGAACTCGAGATCCTCCTGCATCTGCCTCCTGAGTAGCAGGGATTATAGATGTATGCTGCCATACCTGGGTCTCTCAGAAGTTTCTTACTTTCTGAGTTTCATGCCTACAGGATCTTACTATGTAGCTCAGGCTGGCCTCAGACTTGTAATTCTCCTGCCTCCTGAGTGCTGGGATTGCAGACATGTGCCAGTTCTCATTTACTTCTAGAAATTTGTTGAGCTTATCATTCTTACCAGAAATCCATGCAGTATATATTCACATACATCTAGGTTCCTCTTGCATAATCCTTCCAATCATAAGTGAGAAGAAGATACTGTTACACTGTTTTGCAGATGAGGAAACTGAGATGTTTACAACTTAACCATCTTCCTAAGATTCCACTTCTGCTGGGTAGCACATAGGTCTCTGTCCCCAAATCATGTGTCACAGCTTCTAGGAAGCTGATCTCATTTCCCACAGATTTCTATCCTGGCAAATAATAACAACAACAAAAATTACATTCCAGAGCAGTAAAAAGTTGACAACTGGGAATACAGTAGTCTGGAAATTAAGGTCACACCAAGGATGCTGAGTGTCCTTTATCCCACCCCCTTTTTCAAATCTCTCAGTCCCTGCCTGGTTTACTTTCTTCTTGCTATCCTTCATTTTAATGTATACGCCCTTACTACCTAGGTTTCAATACCTTAACCTCCCTGGAGCCTTTTGCCCCCATTTCACCCCATCTCTTCTCCACTCATACTGCCTTGTGTGTCTAAAGAAGACTTCAGTTGTGAGAGTAGGATTATCCCAGCTATGTGAGTGTCAAGTCTTCTTAATTCTTCAGTGCTACTTGGCAAGCCTAATGAATGTGGCTAATTTGTTCCTTCTTCCATTTTTCTAATCATTCACTTCAACCTGTGTCAAATTCATCTTGCCCCCACCCCCTGTTCTACTTTTAATAGACCTTGCCCTCTATATAGACAGAAACTGTAGCATAGTGGAAACATACATTAAAGTCAGACTGATGTTCATTCTAGGCCCAGTCCACACATATACTAATAACTTAAGTGCTCTGAGCTTTAGTCTTCTCATATATGCAAAAACATAAGTGAAACATTTATCCACTTTCACTCCTGTGCTATAATCATTAGTGAAACAAATGGCCTGGATTATTGCAGTAACCAATACTATGTACATATCCATATTGTATACATACCCACTTTCCCTCATCACCTAATACTTGACACTAAAGCCAAAATTATATTTTCTTATCTCCTTGTTTTCTTTAACTCCAATTTCCTGCCTTATTTTTGTGTATCTAAATCTACCCACCCTAACTTTTCCCTTTTTACAATCACATAGTCCACCATTCTCGTGCCCCTGCTCACTGCCTGCCTCCTTTCATTTCTGATGCTCAGTATACACCAAGTATTCAATCACCTTTGCGTATCTTTCTCCTACTTCTAAGATGTCCTTGCATCCACTTATCCTCAAAGTTATATTCACCCCTCAGGACCAAATTTAAATGGGCTGTCTCCCTACTTGCCAAGGCCTCCAGGCAGCCAAGGCTGACTGACTGTATCTGTACCATGTTCATAGGCCTATTACTGCAAGTGTCATAAGACATTGTAGCTAATGCATGTTGCTTTCTTTACCAAGCTGTGAACTATTTGAAGTCAGGAACTGAATCTGCTTTATCTCTAAAATGAAGCACAGTCCCTGGCATGAAGTTGTAGCTCAATAATACCACAATCCAGACAGATACACAAAACATTAGTGGTGCCTCGCTCCATAGAGCAAGCTGCTTCTTCCATGCATTTCATGTATTTCCGTATACTAACGCTGCAGTTACAAAGTCCAAGCTGTCATGCTCCCTGTGAGATTAATGGATTGATGTTACAAGGTTGAGAATGTGCTTTTTCTCAAACACTTCAGGACTTACCCTGATGTTTTACATATTTATCCTTAAAGAGTGTGCTTGACAGTTTGCATGGACAAGGGTGCATGGTAGGTTAATATTAACTTACTGATTAAATGTTAATTATTGATATTCATCTAATAAATGTTAAATTTATTTTTAAGTTTCAAATATTGGGCATTTAAGCACGTGTGATTTAAAATATATATACGTATATATATAAAGCAGCATATCAATTATGAAATTATATAACATATCAAGAATATGTAATGTAATGACCTTTGCAGAGTAGGACTTTAATACATTTGACTCACTCACAAAGAGAGTTGGAGACATCAGAACATGTAGTGAGTGCCTGAGTGGAGGACTAGGAAGGACCAAGTAGAATTCAGGGCTTCCATAACTAATGAAATGATAAAGGGTTTAATATTACATGGATTCTTTCTTCAGATTCAGTATGAAAAGACACTAGAGGAGCAGGAGCAGCTGCTTGCCCACAAATTGAAGGAAGCACCCCAGAACCAACGTGACAGTTCATCCAGGGTTAAAACACTAGAGACAGAGCTCAGGGACCTTAAAGAAGCCCATCAGAACACTGTGAGAAACCTTGAAGCTGAAATAGATGTTCTCAGACATCAGAATGCTGAATTAGAACACCAGAGAAATGGCAAAGGTGGCCATGAAGATTTCCAGTCCATAGAATTTCAGGTAGAACAGGCCCATGCCAAAGCAAAGCTGGCGAGACTCAATGAAGAACTGGCTGCAAAAGGAAGAGAAATACAGGACCTTTCAAGAACCGTGGAGAGGCTTCAGAAGGAGAGGAGAATGATGCTGTCTAATCAGAACTTGAAGGGCAGAGAGGAAATGACTGCCAAAAGGGGGAAGAAAGAGGTTTTTCCCCCAAATAAAGGAAATGCAAACTCCCTCACTGGATCCCTGAATGACAAGCCATACCAACCACACACTTTTACTGATTCCCATATGTCAGAAGTTTTACAAGAAAACTACAGGCTGAAAAATGAGCTAGAGGGATTGATTTTGGAGAGAAATAAGCTGAAGATGGAATCTGAATCAGCAGTGAGCCAATTTGAAAACTCCATGAAAAGGTAAAATGTTAAATTGTTTACAAAATATGGGACCATAAAAGATTTTTTAAGTAAGATATATTTTCTCTGGATAATTAGTTAAGTTCTGAAGCAGATTCATAACTAGATTTGAAGAAAGTTATTACTTTGCTGAGCATAAGTCTGCTTTAATATAGAATTCTCTACTGCCAGAGGCCAGATTGCAATGAACCTAAACCACATCAACATTTCTTGCCAAAGGAATTTGTCATCATTGATGATTGATGGTTCAGACTGCTGTCAGGAAACAGCTGTTGTTAAAAGTGTTTGAGGCCAGGCTTAGTAGTGCCTGCCTGTAATCCAAGCTACATAGGAAGCAGAGATAGGAGGATCGAGGTTCGAGACCAGCCCAGGCAAAATATTAGCAAAACAACCCTTCCTCCAAAAAATAAACACAGGTAAGGACCTGTTTGACTTCCTTGTCCTTCATTTTTTTAAGTGTATATTGCTTGTTCAAGAGGGTTTCGCCTTGGTATTTCACACACGTATATATCGTACTTTAATCAGATTAACCCCCCCTATTACTTACTCTTTCTCTATTGCTCTGCTTCCCTATTATTCAGCAGCTTACAGTGCATTTCATTACACTGTCTTTATACACAGATGCAGTGTATTTCAGTATTACTCACTCTATCACTCTCTAACTTCTTAGTCTACCTCCTTCCCTTCCCCCAAAATAAGAGATTTCACCCAAGTTCAGTCCTTGGCTTTCAGTTTATTCTCTGTTCTTTCTCCATTGCTAAACTTATCTATTCTTAGGGTTATTGTGAAAATGATTCCTGAATTTACTTTTCAAGGCTTGTTCTCAGATGTTAACCTACAACTCTTTATTAAATTGCTTCTCTTAGAATCAACAGTACTTTCTCTTTTTTGCCTATAAACTAACTCCTCCTTCCAAGCTCCCCATCCCTATCCCTGGCTATGATAATTCCTATTACCAGGCCCACTTTTACCCTCTTTATTCCTTGGGTTCATGGTCTAGAGCATGCTTCCTTATAAATATCCCTCTTTCTGCTTTCTTCCTTAGTGTAGTAAACCAGTGCATTATACTTGGCTTACTATAGTTTTCTCATCCTGATCACCCTTTGTTTCTTCCTCCCCCAGTCATCTGCTTAAAAAACTTTAATGTTCTTTAAATAGCCCAATGTCCATCCACAAACTTGAGGCTCCTGGAGAATAGGTATGAAGTTACGCTTCTTTTGCATCCCCACAGCAACCTAGTGTACCTGCAGAATGAACATGGGAAGCACCTAACTGCTTATTGACTGCTTGGCAGGCTATTAGTGATTGAGTCATGGCAACCATACTGCTCCAAATTGAAACCTTATTTCTTCAGTCCTGAATATACTAGTATGAAGCTATTTTGAGAATCACATTCTTTCCTGGAAATAATTTAAGGATCTGGTTTTTCCTATAAATTTTCCTTTCAAAATTTTTGAGTGTATTCAATCTTTTTCTCAGTTCTGAGCCTAAGGAGTAAACTTTCCTTCCTTGTCCCAGATTTAGGATTTTTTTTTTATCTTTTTTTTCCTAGAAGCCTAACCATACTGTTTTCATGAAGAAATAGTCATATAGTGAAGTAAACAACGGATAATTTGCTGTATTAGTACATGTCAGTAGTGATTAATAACTTACCATTTACTTAACCACTTTTGAACACATGTATCTTGTAAGAAATGAACAGTCTCTCAGGTTTATAGTCCAAACTAATTAAATGCAGATTGCCCTTATGTCCTGAGAATTCCAAAGAGATCATTTTATTCTCATAGCATGTACCAAAAATTGGTGAATGCTGCCTCGACACAAAGCATTGAAGAAGAATCACAGGGAGCAGCTGTGATTATCCAAACAAGAATCTGAGGAAGAATCTTGAAAGTACTTTAAAAGGTAGAATGTCAGACATGATACTTTAAGTAGATATTTTAGAACCTCAGATTCTCTCAGAGAATATAACCTTAGTTTGGGGTTAGAGTGGAAGGCCCAGATTTTAAAAGACCAACTCTGCTGAACTTGAACCCTAGCACTACAATTTACTGATCTGGACCTTAGATATATTCCTTTTCCAGAACTCAAGTTTGCCCTTATAAAATCCAGTAAGTAATAAATAGTAAGCTCATAGAGTGATTGTAAGAACTAATAGATAAAAATATACAATGTGGGCTGGTGAAGTGACTCAAGTGGTAGAGTGTCTGCCTAGCAAACACGAGGCCCTGAGTTCAAACTCCAGTACTGCTAAATTCAGAAGAATTTTCAAAAATGTATAAAGTGCCTAGCAGAGGGTAGTTAATGTTGGATGCCCTCTCTCCTGTTTCTTTCATTTTCAGCCTTCTAACACTATTTTCATGCTGACTCTGAATTAGAGGCTGAAGCCACTTTTATGTGACTTTCTCTCACTTGCTCCATAGGGTCAAGGAAGATACTGCAGCACATATTGCATCACTCAAAGCATCTCATCAGAGGGAAATAGAGAAACTCCTTTGCCAAAATGCAGTAGAAAATTCCTCTTCCAAAGTTGCTGAACTGAATCGTAAAATAGCAACTCAAGAGGTAAGTGACAGATCTGTCTTGGTCTTTCTTAGACTTTAATATGACATTTTTCAGAAAATTAATTCGAAGTGTTTTAATTTCACCTTTTCAAGTTGATAACAGAAATGAGAAATTATTACTGGCTTGACTTTTTTATGTAGAAGAGGATATACCATTGTCATATATCTAACTTCTTTATTTTAAAGTTATACCCTATAAATGTTTTTACAGTTTTTTCTTTACATTTCTCAGATAAATTTTCCTCCAGACAGGTTTTAACAGGTGGTTGAGGTGTATGTCAAGCATGACCGAGACCTTAGTACTTGAGCATTACACTTCCTTCCTCACCCCAGGTCCCAATGACAAATGATTATCCTCAGGTACTCTCCCTGCCCGTTACTTATCATTCATTGAACAAATAATGATTCAGGTGTATGAACTTCAGACACTGGGGATAAAATAATGAACACAGAGATGCTCACAGCTTTAGCCATAAGAAGGACAATTTTCAGAGAACTATGACAGGGATTACTGACTACTACTCAGCATTTTCCTTGAATAAAATACAGTTACTCAAGGAAATAGGTGTACTTACTAAGATAATAGGATAATAGGTATATTTACTAAGAATATCTGAGAGCATCTACTATGTGGCCTATCTTCTGTGATAGTTGGTTGAAAAACAGCATTAAAATAGAACTTTAATCTTCAGTTTACTTAAAAATAATGTGTCCAACATGGGTCACACACTAAGGGGAGAGCACATATGGGAGGAATGGGGATAGACAGGAAACCCAAAACTTGAAAGTGTTTGATGTGCTTACTGCAGAGGAGCTAATATTGTAATCTTAAACTGACAGAGGTCACTATGGGAAGGTAACCAGGAAATAGTGAAGAGGTCTGGTAGAGATGAATCAATTTGGATTGTAATACATATGTGCATGGAAGCAATGCTAGGAATCTCTGTATAGCTGTCTTTATCTCAAGCTAGCAAAAATGCTGTGTCTTTCTTACTATCTCTTAGGTTTTCTCTTCAACAAAATTGGGGAAGAGGGCAGAACAGGTTCTGCCTGGAAGTGAGGGAGGGTAGAGGGGGAGGATGGAGAGGTGGCCCAAACAATGTACATACACATGAGTAAATGAATAAACAATTAAAAATAATAATAGTATGTCCAAGAAAAGGAAAATGTGGCAAAATGTTGTTAGCATTTGATGAATAAAGTTGAAGAATATTAATGTTCTTTCTGCTATTTATCTTTTCTGTAGGTTTTAATTTTAATAGAACAAGCTTACAGGAACAGCTTTAAGAAATAATTCTTATCACCATCTCTCTGACCTCTAATTATTTCATACCATCTTAATTAAAAGCAAATCTCTGAGTTGGATAAGGTTCAGTAGAGACTGGCTGTTAAATGTGAGAATTACTATAAATTTTCTTAGATATAAAAATGTTCAGTAGTTTTTGAGAAATTGCCCCTATTACAGAGGAGGTGTATGTTGAATTATTTATGGAGTGAAATACAATAAAATACGCAACTTAATTTCAAATGACTCAAACGGGGCTGTTCTAAATAACTTAGTGAAAAGCATTTGTAGTGCTTTTCAGAAGTAACATCCGTACAGCTGTACAGATCTTCTGTAGCTTTCTAACCCCTATCAAGTGATTTTGAGTGAGGAATAGTCTGGGAGAAGTGGGAAGATTAGTGGCATTATATCATAGTGCCACAAATATGTTTTTTTCCCATAGTTGTAAGTGTAATATTTTAAAATTGTGACTCAAATGGGAAGTTAATATAGTCTGATCATTAAAACAATAAAAGTACAGCACTGGAAATAAGAGAATTTTGCGCGCATTCTCATTTTCTTGTGATGAAAATGTTCTGTTCACATATTTCAGTTTCTTTGTCTAAATATATGAGGGTAACATTTGTGTTTTAAGGCTTGTGTTATCTATAGTTAGTAAATCTTTAATAAAAGCTACCTACTTAATCACAAAGTATAACAATAATATTGTCCACTCTAGAGGGTTTTTATTTGGTCTTTTTGGTTTTTGTTTTTGTAACAGAGTTTCTCTGTTGTAGCCCAGACTGGCCTTGAATTCGTTATCCTCCTGCCTCAGTTTCCCAAGTGCTGAGATTACAGGTTTGCTTCGCCATGCCTGCCTAAGGTTTATTTTAAAGATAGTTTTTCAGTCATGAGTTGGCTTTCTTAAGTTTTTCAAGGCAGAGAATTTTATTAACTCAGCACTTCTAACAATTTCTTAGGTACTTATAAAACATTTCCAAAGTCAAGTTAATGAGCTGCAGGATAAACAAGAGTCTCTTGCGGTTTCTCAAGTTCGAGAAGAAATTCTGCAGAAAGAGGTAAGAAATAAAGTATTGGGCTAAGTCTTTTAAATCTTATTTCTGTATAATTTTTTAACTTAAATGTAAATACTGACGTACCTGGAAGTATCATATTTTTAAATATTTGTAACTTGCTGTGTAAAGTCTGCTTTCCCCATGTGAAGCTCAGATATTATCATTGTTTGTATTTGCTATTGGGCTATTTGGTTTTTATTGGTATATTAACTGTACATAGTAAGGGGATTCTTTATGACTTGTATTCCATGATTGTATAGGCAGTGGGGAAATAGAATGATAGAGATTTCATTCTTTTGTTTGATACTTTTAGGAGGTAAAGTTGGATAGTCAGAGGCATTTCTATGTTAAGTACTATCTGGGAAGAAAAACAATTTTTTCTTCAACCATTCTTAGTTGTTATTAGGATGGACCCTATAACAAAGCACCTGTTAATAAGAGAAACACAAAACAAGTTTATTAGCATGTGCAGCACAGAAGAAAACACGGAAAAATAACTCACAGGAGTGCTTTAGACATCTCCATGTTGATACCTTCACAGAGATTTGGGTTATAACTTGTAAGATAAGGACTGGCAAAAGGAGAGAAAAGCACGGATTGAAAGAAACAGAAAGGAATAATTATAAGTACATTGTCCCATACCTTATCAAATCAGTGTCTTAGTCCTGAAAATAAGTCCACTCATTTAAATAGCTTTTCCTCACCATTACGGCCTCTAGGTGGTGACTTAATAAAAGGTATTCCTGTGGGAACAGAAGATCAATAGTCAAAACAGCCTGTAAACTCTAGGTTTTGCATTTGGGAGGCAACCAACCAACCAAGATGATTTGTAGTGTTGGCTTCAAGCACCTTCGACACTTTGAGTGTCTCCAGTGATGTCCGAGTCCTCTCTTTATATTTTTTAATTGAACATGGTGATGGTCCACTTTTAATTTGAAGAGCTGGTACATGCCAATTCGGCCATGACTGGAAATAAACACAGAATAAGTAAAATTAGAAAGCCTTTTTAAGCATAATCCAAAATGAGTGTCTTAAATATGTTAAATCTTTCAAAGCATCTAACACGCGGGTGGCCACATCTGAGGGCTGAATGATAGGCAGCTTACTGTTTTGTGTGTTTATTAATATTTCTTGATGCAAAGCAACTAAGTCTAAACTCAGGTTAGTATGAGACCAGACTCCTTTCAGATGCTGTTTCATACATTCCCAGCTCCACTGAGACTCATGAGGTTTAGCTGTGACACAAACCCATTGGTAGATGAGTGACAGCGCAGGGACATACGGGTTTTCATGGCTTGGACCTCATCCCCAAGCAACACGACTACTGATTCTAAGGCATCAAGTCGTGTCTCAATCATTTTGTCAATAGCTTCTTGAGATATTAGTGTTAAAGTCACATTTTTAGCCAAATGATTAACATATGAGCTGTTTGGATACTTTGTGACAAGGCTACAGTAGATGCCACAGCAGAAGCAATGAGTGACACCAGAGCCAATACTCCAGCAGTAATAAGGCCATGACTCTTTTGTGCCTGGTTAAAGCTTTTTCAATTTGCAGTAAAGCCTGTACTCCTCGATTATCATTCCAAGTACCATTTATCTGCACAGGCAGCGTAACAAAAGCAAGCTGCTTCACTATCAGTATCCTTTTTTGTTCTAAAGGTCTTGAGTTATTAATACAATTAGTTAAAATCACAGGTAATGTTGTAGTGAGGGTATGGGGTTCTATTACTACGTTCAGCTATCGTTACATGACCTGTTAGTAAAAGATAAGGCAGAGAGATACAACCAATTATGTTATGGTATACAATCTGATAGTGCTGTGTTGATGACACTATAACAGGAACCATAGCTGCTACCAACTGCCAAATATCCTTTTGCATCTCTCCAGAAGACAAAACCAATATGCGAGTGATCCATCCTGCAGTTGTGACCCAATCCCCCTCAGGGGTAGACATAGGTTGTCTTTGAGACCAGTCCCAAGATGTTCATTTGTCCCATACCTATCCAAGGGTCGCTTAACAGGTGTTGGGTATGCACAATCCACCCAAGGAGGAATTCCATAAAACTTCTCATCCAGATCAGGACAAGGAGGAAGGCCCCCAGGTGGCCCTTGTTGATCAAGAGAATAATGACTGGAAAAGCCCATCTTAATAATAGTGTGCCAATGTAATTCAGTAAATCGTCTTGCGAGCCCAGTGCACTGGAAATTTGAGTAATCAATTGAACATCCAAACATGCAATGCCATCATTCCAGGATGAACACAGAGGAGGAGAAAATGACCTTGCAGAATAATTGAAGGAGGCCCACTGAAAAGAAATATGGGAAGAGTGAGAGCCCCCCAATAAAGAAGTATCATTAGTAGAAATCTTGATGCTGGTGTCATTCCGTGGCACAGGATGAAGAATGGGGCAATCGGGGAAGTATGCCCAATAAGTTTCTCTAGAAGTCCCACACACCTGACAGGAGAGTATGGCAACCATTGTCAAAAACAAGGCCTCTGATGTCTGATGTTGTGATGTACATCACAGCAACTCCTTGCCCTCTGCAGCCAACTTTGTGATTTGACCCCAGGTAGGCAGAGGAGGAGCATGGGTGTTACATGCCTTCTTTACTGGACGGGAAGGCAATCTCTGAGTTATTTTTATCCTTTTTACTCCTTGGTTGATCTTGCCCACCACTTTGAGTATCACTGGAGAACTCATGATGTCTCATCAATCTTTCTGGAATCCATCGAGGAGACTCAGCATCCCTGAGGAAAATACAAAGAAAGCCTCTACCCCACATTAACACAGGGTCAGGGCCCATCCATTGATCTGTCAGTGGATCCTTCCACATGACCAGAGGATGAGTCTATTTAGAAGGGCCCCAAAATCTTTCTGCTGCTGACAGTCCCTGTTTATCTACATTGAAAAAATTTAAAACAAAAAGAGTGTGATTAAGTCTATTAGCAGGAGTGGCATACTCTGTTCTCCCTTTTTTTAAGTAATTGAGCTTTAAGTGTTTGGTGTGTATGCTCAACAATACCTTGACCTTGAGGATTATAGGGAATGCCTGTTTTAAGATTAATAGCAAAACGTAAACAAAAAGAAAAGAAAGATTTGGAGGTATAGGCAGGAACATTATCTGGTTTTATGCATTTTGGAATTCCTAAAATAGAGAAAGCATGAAGACCATGGGCTACAACATCCTTGACAGCCTCTCCGGTTCGTGCAGTAGCTATAAGGAAGTGAGAAAAGGTATCTATGATAACATGTACAAATTGCAGTTGGCCAAACTCAGGGATATGAGTAACATCCATCTGCCATAAATGGCCAGGTAACAAACCTCAAGGATGGATGCCAAAAGTTGGAACAGAAAAATGCTGTAGGCATGAAGTGCAGCTGTGAACAATCTGGCGTGCTGCTTCCCTGGAAAGACCAAATTGTTTTTTGAGTGCGTCAGCATTTTGGTGATGAAGGGCATGAGAATCCTGGGCCTATTGTAAAACAAATAACCTGCTGTGTAGCAGCATCTGCAACGGCATTTTCCTGTGTCAAGGGGTCAGGTAAATTAGTATATGCACAGAGGTGACCAACAAAACAGGGAGCAGAACAGTGATGAGTAAAGGCTCGTAACTGAAGGAACAGGTGAAATAATTCTTTATCTGCAGTATGGGAGATCAGTGCAGTTTCAGTAGTACATAATACCTGATAAAGATACTGACTGTCTGTGAAAAGATTAAAAGCATCTTTAGAAAGGATTTCAAAAGCAGGCAAAATAGCATGTAGTTCAACACGCTGTGCAGACATAGGAGGAAAGTTCCTAGTGTGAACTTGTCCATCAGTGACAACAGCAGCTACTCCGTTGGCAGAGCCGTCAGTAAATACCAACCTAGCCTGAAGAACAGGAGTTTTGTGAATAATCTGAGGAAAAATAAAAGGATTATTTTTGTAAAAATGGGTTAATTTGTTTGCTGGATAGTTAAAAGAAATTTGTCCTGGAAAATCAGCCAGTGCTATCTGCCAGTCTTTTGACAATTGAAAAAGCCAGGATACCTGTGTTTCAGTAAATGGAACAACAATAATATCAGGGTCAAGACCAAAAAGCTGCCGGGCCTTTTAAAATAAGAGAAGAAATGAGAGTATGTAAAGGTATAAGGGTACAAGACTCAGAAACAAGTAAATGCTGCCATTCCAAGGGCCCATGTTTCTGCCACAGTAGCACAGTTGGGATATGTTCTGTGGCCATTAAGAGGACATTAACATTAAGTGAAGAGGTCAATCTGGGTGACTTGTACCAGACAAAGGGCTTTAGAAATCATCTGTAGGGCCTCCTCACAGATCTGTAAGAGCCTCCATTTACCTGACTTCTTTTTTATTGCAAATATGGGAGTATTTCAGGGGCTAGTAGTAGGTTCAGTATGCCCTTCCTGTAACTGTTTCTGCACTAACTGTTGAGTGGCAACTAATTTCTCCTTAGTAAGGGGCCACTGATCCACCCAGACAGGCTTGTCTGACAACCTGCTAATTACATCACAGTCTGTAGTGGAGGAGTCATCAGGGCCCCTGCAAAAAATGTTTAAAACCCAAACCATGTCGATTATTTTTTTGGAGGGGCTCACTGGGCTGAGTTACACCCTGATGGGTGACACCCAGTCCTGCCCATGGATCAGAACCTTGATTTAACATCATTTGAGTAACTTAGGTATTAGGACTAACTAGTAATAGCCCCATATCCTTTAGTATATCACATCCCCATAAATTAATAGGGAGATGTGATAGGATATATGGCTGAAAGTAACTAGTATTTCCCTCTGGATCATCCCACTGAAGAAGTGAAGAACTTTGATAAGGAGACTGGCTCTGCCCAATGCCCAAAGCTGAGTTATAGCAGGCTGCATTGGCCAGGCGTCAGGCCAATGAAACAAAGCAAGTACTGAAACATCTGCTCCAGTATCAATTAACCCTTTAAATTTTTTACCATTAATTTTAAGCTCTAACTCTGGACAAGAGTCTCTGATC